GCGTGAAGTGCGGTGCGCTTTGTGCTTTGTGCTTGATGGCCACTGTGGTGGTTGTTGGAGTCTGGAGTGTGTCTGCTGTTTGTGCAAGGAGCAAGCAGAGCTCTTGCAGTGCTGGCTGCGGATCTGCAGCCTCGATGTTGTGATGATCAGGGAGGTTTGGGCCTCGTGCTGCTGTTGGGTACCAGCGGGGTCCCGGCCCATCTGGGCATCACTGCCTTGCAATGAGCACCTGGGAAATGTGCTGTGCAGCACGAGGTGCTGCTGGACATGAGGTCATCTGTGCCTGTTTGTCATCGAGGTTGGAGAGCACAGCCCTCTGTGCAGCTGTGCAACAGCTGAGGTGGAATTGTAATGGTGGGAAAAGCATGCGGGCAATGGCTGCGTTGTTCGCCTGTCCCCAGGAACAGAGGGGATCCTGTGTGTGTAATGCAGTCTCTAAAGGTTTGAATAGTTTTTTTCTGCTCTAACTAATCTTTTTAAATGCTTGACGGGCTTGTGTTCTGTAATTGAATGCGTTTTATTTAGAAAATAACATTTAGTACCACTTTGGATTTCCAATTATTCTTCAATGTGGCTTTGAGGGCCTGACGCCTTTCTCATTTTGATACTCACAAATGATGGTAACATCAGAGCAAGGAAACAGCAAATTGTCTACGCTGCTGATTGCTGGGCTCAGGGGGAGCAGCAGTGCTGGACTGAGTCTCAGCATCAATCCATTGAATGGAATGGCAGCGTTGTACCAGCAGCAAACATGCCATCACCCCGTGCCACTGCCCCGTGTCATTGCCTGTCCTTTTCTCACTGCCTTGTGCCACCTCTGCAGGCCACCTCTCACGCCCAGCAGATGAGAGCAGAGGGACAATGCTCCTGAAGTCTGAATGGCTCCTGCAGGGCATTGCTGCCCTTTGGTGCCAGCAGCAGACAGAGGTGAAGGGTAAGCGGGGATCCAGAGGAGATGGGGAGCAAGGAGCACAACCAGTGATGCCCACTGCTCACTTTGAATGCATCTCCTTCCTGTGCCTGCCAGTTTTATGACAGAAGAACAAAGAAGGGAAGCAGATAACTGCAGAGGTTCATTTGCCAATGTCAGCTGCCGGTGTCTCAGGAATAGAGCCATCAGTCTGTCCCTCCTTGGCGCTGGGCTGTGCAGGCAGTTTTCCATTTGCAGCATGGTTTATTCACAGCTCCCCATTTTGCAGGGAGGGCTCTCCTTTTCCCTCCTTTTTTTTTCCCAGGGGTGTCCCTAGCACTGCTGTGCCCCTCAAGTGCAGCTCACCACAGGGGCTCTCCCATCCTCTGCCTTTGCATGGGTTGAGGTTTGCATCCTGTGGGACCTCCAGCCCTGCAGGAAGACACAGCCAGAGAGAAAATTCTGCTTGGAAGCACTGGGAGCTCCTTCATAGGGCAGGAGGGCATCACCACAGTGCTTCTGCCCCAATCCTCAGTGGGGTCAAAGCAGCCCTGGCCCCAGTGCCCAACACTTGCACTGTGCTTTGCTGCACTGCCCAGCATCTGGGAAAGGAATGTTGAGGGCTGCTGTGCAAACCAGCTGCTGTCTGAGCAGGCTTTGTTTCCAATGTAGGGAATCTGCTGTAGGGAATGATTTAACCTCCATTTGTTCTTTTCTTTGTATCATTTCATTAAATAAGATTTATATACAGGTTTAGCACTGGAAGGATGGCCCGTCCCCTGGGCTGGGGCAGAGCTGAGCATATTGCTCCTTCCCATGTCCCTGATTCACCCGTTGTTTCAGGGCTGGAAACACACAGGCTGCCTGCCTTTCATCCCCAGCAGATAAATGCCACGAAGCACTCAGGAACCACCTATCCCCAATCTCTTCATTAGCAAAGCTTCTGATGGGGTTCATTTCACAGTCCCTGGGTGGGAAGGAGGACGCTGAGCTGCAGAGTGCAGAGTGCATTGCTGCAAGCAGCAGCTTCCACATGTGCAATGCTTGGCTCCTGCACAGAAATGCAAAGACTCAGTGCAGTGATTGGGACCAGCCCTATGCACCAGTTGCCCTCAATACTGGAGATGTTGGAGATGTGCTGGAAATGCTGCCTGGTGCTGGGGAAAGGAGGAGGGGGAGCTCCCAGCCCCGCTCTCAGCTCTGCAAGGTCTGCTGTCCCCCTGGGGAGGGATAAGCCGTGCGAGCGCTGGGAAGGGAGGAGGAAATGTCTTTTAACAGTAAATATGGCCTTGTTATTTATCAATGCAAAGTAATTGAAGTAATTTCATGTCGTTTTTAAATGCAGTGCCTAGGGATCTAATCTATCTGTCTAATATTAATGGGTAATATTTGGTTGCCTCATTCATTCATTACTGTTTTCATTAAGACTCTAATCCCATTTAGGAGTCTGTTTGTCATGTTAAACTCCTCTGTTTTATCTTAGCCTGCCACGATCCTTTTAACAACTTCACTGAATTCATGAGTTGTAGGCTGGCAGCTCGGGAGGGACTTTGCAGTGAGTTCTGTGAGGAGAGGGGAGCAGAGAGCTGAGGGCAAAGCAGCAATTTCAATAAGCGCAGCCCAGCACCATTTGTCTACTGAACTCCCAACTCCGACACCAGGCATAACTCCAGACTGGTGCAGAGTTCTATTTTCACTGCTCGCCTGCAAAATAGAGAGGGAAAGAAGAAGTGTGCACTTCATAATTATTCATCTTAACTCATTTCCTGCTCTTAAAGCATGTTGGTGGCTGCAGGGAGCGAGGTGCTGTGAGTCGCCAGGCACCAGGGAAGGGCTGGACGAGGGCCATGAACTGACGTGAGATGAAAGTTCACTGCATCGCTCTGATCCCCGCACTGATCTCCACCTGAGCCCAGACATTTTGGCCTTTCATCCTTCTTAATTAGTTCCCCAGAGGCTCGGGCTAATCAGCACAAAGGAGGGGTCCCAGCGGCAGGGCAGTCTCGTGGTGCCATTTGTCAGAAGTCGGTGCCAGCGTTTGGAGATGGCCGCTCCTGGTGATGCGTGTGGTTGGAGCCAAGTGCTGCACACGTGTTGGGAAAATACCCCACTGTGTGCTGCTGGGAATTGTGCTTACCCTGCTCAGGAAGCATCTGGATCCCTGCGCTTTGCCACTTCTCATCGTGTGAAGGTGATGATGAGGTTCTTCCAGCAGTGAAGCCACGTTGCTTGGATCAGAGTTGAAGGGGCTTTCTTCGCATGCTTCTGCAGTGCTGTAATTAAAGAATCCCCTGCAGCCTTGGAAAAGCTGTCCCTGTGCCTTCTCTCACTGTCTGCCCAATGCTGCAGGTGTCCAAGGACACTCAACTACCTCATGGGAAGGCAGAGCGAGGCCCTGCTCCATTCCAGGACCCAAAGGATGGGGGTCTTCTTGCTCTGGGGTGCTCCTACAGTGCTGCTTCTGGGGGACTCCTTCATTCAAACTTGCTTCCCTTTTGCTTTCCTCCCATCCCACTGCCGCCCTGCATGAGGCACTGTGTGGCTGTCCTGGGCTGCAGTGGTGTGAGCTCAGCTCCAGTTCTGCTCGGTGCAGGGTGAAGTGGAATCCTGGGGACCTGAGGTCCTTGCAGCACTGACCTGGACAGCAAGGATGAGAAGCAGTGGGAAGAGAAGTGCCAAACTTTGTACAAACTCCTAAGAAAGTTTGGCTTTCCCTTGCCCTGTTACCTTGATGTGTTAACAGCTGGGACTGGAGAACCGGTGCTCCTGCCCACAGCTCTCTTGCAGCAGCATAAAGCAGTGGCATTGTTGCATGAATGAAGACAGAATCACAGTGGAAAGTTCATCAAGCCTGGGCTCCTGCTGGTTGAGTGATAGATAGCTTTAATCACACAGAGCTGGCCAACACCTCCCCATTCAACACCGATATTCCGTGAGCTGTGCAGCGCAGTGGGAATGGGGCACGTGGGCTGAAAGAGACCCTGCTCCTCTGCACTCCTCCCTGCACCAACACTGCAGCTCTCCGTGCAGCCAGGCTGTGTGCACGCATTGCTCCCAGCTCCCCCACACGCATCCCACTCTGCTCAAAAAAAAACACCAACCACACACCCCCAACCCCTGCACGATTTTTGTTGTAGGCGAAGCTGTCGAGTAGGGCTCAGGAAACAAGAAGAATAGCGGCCCTATTGGTGTCATGTTTAGAGAGGAACTGGGTTCTCACTGTGTCAACAGCACTTGGCTTGACAGCAGCCTTTGTGGGATGCACACTGCTCCTTTCAGGGCTGCCCAGCTGCTGCCAGCCGCAGTCCGGCCCCGCGCAGGAACTGCTCTTTCCCTGCCTACTTGCATATCTGGTTCCCTTCTTCTATTGTGGAAGAAACGTTATGCGTGCACCAGTTTGAGGGATCCCAAAGCAGGAGCAGGAAGACAAGTTTTGCTACTGGGATTAGTGTGTGTTTATGAAGTACATAGGGTTCTGGAATTCTCCCAGCACTGGGGAACCCAGCCAAGGCTTGCTAGAACCTCACATCACCATTAAATGGATGCACAGCCATCACTGTGCTCCAGGGCTGGCCACTGGGTCCCATTGGTGAAAATGGCCTTGTGCTGGAGGTGGCAGTGAGCTGTGAGCAGCCAGCCCTCACTTGCTGCTCCATGGGCACAGGACCTGGGGGCTGTGGAGTAGTGTGCTTTGTTCAGCTCCATTCCAATTCACTGCAGTCCCACCTCGGGCTGCAGGGAGGGGCTGCAGGAGCACCACACCTGCTAGGGGTGGTAAGGAATGGATTGAGGTGGAATTGCACGTCTGGGATCAAGCAGTGATCCATGGCTGAATCCCTAAATCTGAGCCTTTGGGGTTCTTAACGCTGATAAATGAATCAGGACTGTGCTGTGTCTTACTGATGTGTCCCACTGGGCTGGGTGAGCTGCACCCCACAGTTCAGCACATACTGTTGGCCAACTTATACACAGGGGTCGGCCTGAGCTCCATGTCTATGAATTGCTTTTGTGTTGCTTATCCCACCTCCCCCACTCAGCTGCTCTTTGCCACCAGACCCGCTGAGGCTGTGCTTGTCCCTTGTCCCTGCAGGTGTCCCGTGTGCCCGTGGAGTCCTGTGAGCAGTACACGACCTGTGCAGAGTGCCTGAGCTCGGGGGACCCGCACTGCGGCTGGTGCACGCTGCACCACACGTAAGTCAGACCATGGCAAGGAAGCACCTCTCAGCAGCACCCAGTGCTTTCCGTTGCTCATTTCAGCAAAATGAGGCTGAAGTCCCTGGAATCCATCCTTCTCTTCCCCTGGGTGTTTCCTGCATTGCGGCTTGAGTAGCACTGAAGATCCCTGAGCTCTTGAAGAAAGGCAGATTCCTTCTGTAGGAGAGTGGATTGCATGCAGCATGCAGGAAGGTGCCATGGGACAGTGCAAAAAAAGCAGAATTGAAACCTGGGGGAGCAGAGCTGTTGCATTTTGCATGTTCCCCATTGCTCGAACTGCAACCCCTCCTGATTAATGGGGGATTTTTAGAGGTGAGAGTGGGTTTAATGATTTGAGCAGGACTTTGGAACGAGGAGCAGCACCGAGCCCTGTTGAACAGAGCTGGAAGAGCTGCTGTAATGCAGCGTGGTGAGGGCAGGGAGCAGCAGCTGTCCTGGGGGGCAGAGCTGCACGTCCCAGGCACTGCAGTGAGGGCTGTTCCCAGGGGCACTGCGGGAAATACGCTCTGCATTCAGGAGGTGTTTGGGCTCTTTCTTTCCCCCACCACCAGAATGATCACTTCCTATGGCGGAAGGGGGACCACCGGGCAAACACTGATGGGGGGAGGAAGGGCAAACCCAGAGGATACAGGAGGAGAGGAATAGAAATCCCTCCGGCCCCGTGCCAGCTTGCAAAGCAGCCCCCTTACATGCATGGAAATCAGGGCGGAGGCAGAGCAGAGTTCAGGGCCCTGCACAATGATGCTTGGCCACATGCCTGAGCAGCAGGTGTTGGAGAGAGAGAGAGAGAGAGGAGGAAGGCAGGCTCAAATGCAAAATCCGGCCTGGATTAGGGACTTGCGTGCTTTGGGGTGCAAAACAGCTTCCAGTGCCCAGCAGGGCTCGTTTGGCTTGCAAGGAGTTGGTGCTGCATTCAGGGAAATAGGATAAAACCGTTGCAGGAGCATCCCTGGTGCACCCAGCCCCAGTGCCATGCCTGCACCGTGCCCTCAGGTGGCATTCTGCACAGGGTCCCTGCTTGCTGCAGGCTGCAGGCAGGTTGGGTGGATGTGCCTTTGCTGCTACTCCTTGCACCCCTGTAGCAGCTCCTCTGCGAGGATCAGCGAGTGCTTTCCTGATACTAATGAACTGCATCTTCATGAGCCACCTGGGAAGCAGGTAAAGGTTGTTATCTTCATTTTGCAGAGAGAAAACTCTCAATGTCAAGAGGAGAGCAGAGTGCTGTTTCCTCTGCCCACTTGGCTGTGACATTTGGGCATTAGCATCCTCCCGCCAACACTTTCTTCTCTGATGTCAATTCTCAGCCCTGCACTTCCTGCACTGCTTGAAGCAACCATCATGTTTTTTAGCCTTTGTCTTAAGGTGCAAACAATTGAGTTTATCTTGCTGTTCCTGAAGCCTCTGTCATATTTGTTGGGAGGCCCCAAGCGCTGGAGTGTTTGTATTTCATTTGTCATCTTTCTCCTCTAACTTGTGCGTTGTTCCCCTCCTGCCAGCTGCTCCAGCTGCTCGTGGCTCAGTGAGGGCAGGCTGGGATGCTCCTGCTGTGCTCTGAGAGCTGCCAAAGTGTTTGTTATGGGGTCTGGATTGTAAACAGCGACGCACTGGATGTGTGAGATGGATGCAGGGAGCAGTGCCTGCTCCAGGTGTGCTGCTCTCAGAGCCCTGAGTTAGGGATGAAGGCTCTGTTGTATGGCTGGGTGTTTGCACACACGTGTGCACACTGAGATTTGGAGAGCAGTGGTGCTCAAGAGTGAAACCATCTGTGGGGATTTTACAGCAGTGCAGACGCGTGGGTGACTCCATGGCATGGAGCTGCAGGGCTGGAGCACCTTGAGAGCAGACAGATGATCTGGGGCACTGAGGACACTGCTTTGGAAGGTGCTCAGCCACCTGTATGTGGCAGGTGCTCGTCCTCCTGCAGAGCTGCCCAGCATTCTCCCCATGGCAGGAGGAAGGCTCGCTCCTCCTCCTCTCATTCAAATGGTTCCTTGGGAGCAAGCAGAGGCCTCGAGGAGATCATTAAAGACTCTTCAGCCCCGTGGGATCCAAAACCCACAAGGCTCTTCCATATGCTGCTCTCTGCAAGTCTGTTATTGTCTACAGGCCTATTTATCTCTGTTAGGGCTGTTGCCATAAATAGTATGATAAAAAAGAGCCATTCCAGCGAGTCAATGAGATAAAGGCTCCAGTCAAGAGCTCACTTTAAAGCTATCTCAGAGATTCACTTAAACCTCAATAACTCTTCTTTTGGCAGGGTTCATATTTAGCTCCATTATGCTCCAGAAAAAGGGGCTGAGGAGAGCAGCAGTGTGTGCCGGGTGTCACACTGGGTGCTGGGAGAGATCATGGCAAACTTTTCTTATTAGAACACTGATGGCACGTGGGGCTGTTGGCAGTGCCTGCGTCCCCCACCTCTGCACCACGATTGTGAGTGGGGTCTGAGATGCTGCATGAGAAGTGATGAAGTTTGCTGGTAGTTGGGTAATGCATCAGAAGGGCGCTGTGTCATCTGCTGCCAGGGGGTGGGTTTTGAAGGGAGAGATTTTGCCTAAGTGACATGGAATAGAAAAACCCCCAAGGGACCCCAGTGCTGTGCTGTGTGATATCTGCCAGACACATGAACAGTCCTTCCCTGCCTCCCCAGTGTGCACTCCACTACCACTGGCATTAACTCAGGCACACGTTTCCCTGCAGCAGCTGTAGCTGCAGCCGTGGCACTGCCATGCTTTCCATTTTGGATCTGTTTCTGTCCTCTCCCTGTTCTCAAACTGGACTTGTTGTTCATGTTCTAGCCTGATTCTTCATCAACGTTTCATTGTGCTCTGAGGACACCTGCCATAAGAAAATAGGGGGTCATGGGATGCATTCCTGAGGGTAGGAACAGGAGGGATCTGGGAGCAGGGCAGGACAGCTGGTGAGGAGCAGCCTGCAGCCACCAGAGAGGAAATCCCTGCTGCTGGCACAATGCACTCCTCAGCACCAGGAAAAGTCAATTAATGAGCTGTATGCTTTTGTTTTAATTGGAATGAAGGCGTCACTTTGTTTCCGCTTTACGTTTTATTTTCTATACATCTAATGAGTTTATGGCTTGCAGGAACGAGGTCTGCAGGGCCCTTTGATCCTAACCTGGCAATCCATGCCTGGTCCTGGGCAGAGCATCACCCGCAGTCCTTCCCCTACCCAAAACTCTGCTCATCTTGCAGCTCCGTGCACTGATGTGCACTGTTGTGTGCTGATGATGTGCACTGCTGTGTGCTGATGATGTGCACTGCCGTGTGCTCCCCAGGTGCTCCCCACGGGACAGCTGTGAGAGGGCTGACGAGCCACACCGCTTTGCAGACAGCATCGGGCAGTGCATGAGCATCATGGTGCAGCCCAGCAGCATCTCCGTGTCGCAGCACAGCCTGCCGGTAAGCGCTCCACTCTCCAGTCTTTTTTCCCTTCCCACTGCACAACTGTTTTCCCATGAAGTCAGGCTTGCAGAGGGATGGGTTTGGAGAGCCAAGGGGGGAGAACGGGGTGCAGGGATCACAGCAACAAATTCCCCCTTCCCCATGGGCCCCAGCTCACATTTCTCTCGGTCTGGTTTCATGAACTGTTGAAAGGAAAGGCTTTGTTTCCCCAGAAGCTGTGCCCAGTGCTGGCTCTCTGAACCTCCCAGCTGCTTCTCCTGAGCTCCCGGTGCCCGTGGATGGGCTGCAGCAGCTGCAGCCTCTCCTGGGGCCGGGCTGCATGGGGAGCTCGCTGTTGCTGCTGCAAATGCTGGGAGCTGCTCCTGGCTGTGCAGGTCCCTGATACAGTTGAAGGTAGCAGGGGTTTGTAGGGCAAGCAGCTCCCTGAATTGCAAAGATTCAGTGAGATGTTTGTGCATCAATAGATTGTGCGTCATTGAATGACATCCAGGGGGACTTGAACAGGTTCAAAACTTGGGCCCACAAGAACAGATTGTGATTCAACAAAGCCAAGTACAAGGTGTTGGCTCGGGGTAATCCCAGGTCTTTGTACAGAGTGAGGTTTGAAGGGCTCAGATGCAGCAAAGCAGCAGTCCTGACTGCATGGAGCAGGTGGGGGCTGTCCCACTAACACACTGCTGATGTTCTGTGCCCCCATGCAGCTCAGCCTGCTGGTGAGCGATGCCCCGGACCTGGCAGCTGGTGTCACCTGCCTCTTTGGGAACCTGACAGAAGTAGAGGGTCAGGTGGTGGGCAGCCGAGTTGTGTGCGTCTCACCGGCTGCGAGGGATGTCCCAGCCATACCCGTGGATCAAGGTGAGCAAACAGCTTTGGATTGTTCCTCCATTAACAAGTGGCCGCTGTCGTGCTTTTCTCTTTCCATAAAGAGACTTGCACAAAACTCATTTTCTCCTTGGCATCCTTGTAGGTGTCAGCTGTGCTGATGTCTTTGTGTCGCCGCGACACGATACGGAGACTGAGAAGTGTTAAACTCAGGGAGCCAAGGTGGCAGGGCTGCTGCAGGTGTACCAAGCCCAGCAGTCTGCTCTTAATTAACTCAGGGCTGAGGCTCCCCAAAAGCACTGCTGATGGCCTTGCTTCTACTGTTATCTCCTAGCCTTGGGCTAGGCTGAGTTACTGGGCTTTTGTACAGGAGGCAGAATTCCAATATGGAACAGCATGTCATCCCAAACTTGTTTCAGCTGTGTCCTAAGGCAGATCCCCACCCCTCCCATGCATTTTGCTATCTGCTCTTATCTGTGTCAGAGGATTTGTGGCTGAATCCCCTGTGTTCCCACGTTACCTCTGGGCACTGACTGGCTCTGTCCTGCTCTGCAGACTGGTTCGGTGTGGTGCTGCAGCTGAAATCACAGGAGACGGGAAGAACATTCGTCAGCACCGAGTTCAAGTTCTACAACTGCAGTGCCCACCAGCTGTGAGTGCCCACCCTCCTTCCTGGGGTGCAGGGGGGGGGTCCTGGTGGGATGGGGTGCACCCTCCAGCCACGTGCAGGCAGCAGCCAGGTGCTTTGTACCTGCTGTGGATGGAAGCTCCAGCTCCCTGCCCTCTGAGCAGCCTGCAGCTCTCCTGCCTGCTGAGATAGAGGCTGCAGGAGCCTGAAAAAACCTTAACCTGCTGGTGCCCCCAAGCTGCTCCATCCTGCAACTGTGAATGTGGATGCTCTCAGAGGATGAAGCAGAACCAAGTCCAGGATGTGGGCTGGGAGCAGCAGGGCAGAACCCAGCACAGCAGTAGCGCTGGGCTGGAAGGCTCCATGCTGCTTTGAGCACAGTATGTGCTGTTCAGCCCCCTGCTCTGCTCACCCTGGCAGGCACACACATGGCTGTGTGTGAGCATCTGAAGTGTTTATAGATTTCTCTTTGGAAGCACAGCAAGCACCAAAGCACCCAAATGGAAGGCAGACAGGACCTGGCATGGGTCGGGCAGTGAGTAGCAGTGCCTGCAGGGTGGGCTGTGTCTCCCACAGCAGGGCTCAGCTCTCAGCTCTGCTTTTGGAGCATACTTTGCTGCCCGGTAGGAGTTGATAAGTGCCAGCATGGGGTCACTGAGAGAGCCTTTCTGCCCTGGATTTGAAGCCTTGTGCTATGGGAAGTTCCCTGCTGCACTTGGAAGAGGGCTGCGTGCTCTGGTGAGCTTGGCTAGCAGTGGGTTTTTCTAGGCATGCATTCAATATATGTTTTTTTCACTGCAGAGGCACCGGGATGAAAGAAGCCTTGAGGGTCCTCCAGCCCCCACTGCTGCCTCTCCCGGTGGTCTGCATCCCCTGCTCCAGTGCCTCCTGTTGTGCTGCAGTTTTGCACAGCTCTGTTCTTGCCCCCTGTCCCTCAGTGACAGCATTCCCTGCTCCTGCCATCACCTATGGTCCTGTCTGCGTCTTTGCTGGGTCCTCAGATTTGCCTGAGAGGTGACTTTATAGGACCCCTATTTTCTCCTCCATGTGGAGGTTTGGATCAGGAGAGGCAATGCATCTTTTCTGTCCCTTGGCTCCATCTGACCATGCCTTTCTCAAAGCTTGTGTTTGGAGACAAAGTGTGAACATGGTTGTAAATTCTGTAGCACTTACATCATCCTGAACTCATTATCAATGAGTTCAACAAGGGCACGAGCCAGCCTTGCAGGAATGAATCACAGCATGTGTAAAACAGAAAGGAATACGGGCCTGAGCCAGCACAGGAGGGGACCTGTTGATCAGAGTCCCTTCCCTGCAGCATGGCAGAGCAGGCAGGGGAGCAGCTGTGGTTGCACAGCAGCATGCACAGGGACTGTGGTGCATGGAGTGTGCACCCTGCGGGCATCTGGAGCTGGCTGGAGTGGTAGAGAGCTTTGTACCTGGTCAGGAAGGGGTAGGTTTTGCAGACAGCTTTTGCTAGACAATGTATTTGGATGCAGGTATTGTGAGCTCACCAGGCTCAGCTCTTGAGTGTGTGAATTGTCGTGGTCAGGGACCTTGCTGGTGGCTTCTGCTTTAAGTCCATTTTCACAAGATAAGGGAGAGTTGCACTGGAGACATTGACTCATTCTTGAAGCAAAGGAGAGGCAGCAGTCCTTAAAACCAGATCAGATCGAGAGGCCGTGTTCTGACTCAGGACTGGCTCACTCCTTGCAGCACGGGGCTCACAACCTGGTAACCCCTTCCTCCTTTCTCCCCCCAGGTGCCTCTCCTGTGTGAACAGTGCATTCCGCTGCCACTGGTGCAAGTACCGCAACCTGTGCACCCACGATCCCACCACCTGCTCCTTCCAGGAGGGACGGATCAACATCTCAGAGGTACCACGCTCTGCCTTCAGCTCTTTCTTGGTTGCTTTTCCTGTGGCACCGTGAGCAGAACCAGCGCTCTGTGAGGCTGTTTGACTTCACTCTGGTTTTGCATCTGGAAGTGCAGCTGCAAGCAGGAGCACGGCAGCCAAGTTTTGGTGCAGGACGAGTGATGTGCCTCAGCCTGAATGCTGAAGCTGATCCTGCCTTCAGTACGTGGGTCTGCTCAGGTTCAGTAATAACAGTAATTAATCTTTTAATTGCTGTAGTGCTTTCCTTTGGGATCTCAGGGGCTTTACAAAGCATGCAGGGTCTGCACAGCAGTGAGTGCAGTGCAGAGCTGCTGGTGGGGCTCGTGGTGCTTCGTTCTGGGACTGCTGGCAGCTTTGCAGCCGGGGCTGGAACCCAACTGCAAACTGATTAAGAAAGGAATTACAGATGCAAAGAGCCCCAGACTTTGGAAAAGAGAATTGCTTCAGGTTTCAAGCGCTGAGGACCAGAAGCGGTCTCTCTTAGCTGTTAATAAAAAGTGTGGGGCTCAATTCTAAGAAGGCTTTTAACACTTAGAAGGAGGCAAAGCCCATTATCGGCTTTGCCAGATCTTCTATGTTTCCTGAGGTAGAGGGATTTATGGAGGAAAAGAGTTTGTTAGCACTGATTCCTGATCAAAGTTACCACCAACCCTGCAGTTTGGGACCTTTGCATCTTGTCCGCTTCCTTGCAGCTGTATCCCAGCAGCAATGGGGCTGAGACAGAGCTGCATGGTGCTCTGCCATGTGGTTTCACCTAGCACAGAGCAGATGAACTGGGCAGCGACTGGTCCTGGTCCCTCTGCCCTTACACAGAGCTGTGGGGCAGATGGAGGGCTCCTAGGGACAGGATGGGCAATGCACACTGCCAGCCTCGTGCCACCCCGAGTGGGGACCATGGGATGCACTCACAAAGTGCAGTGAAGAGTCTCATGCAGGGTACAGACATCCAAGGAGAAGTGTCTGCTCTGGGGACAAACCAAAAGCTTTCCCAGTCCAGTTCAAAGCCGAGAGACTTCCTTTTAAGATAACAGGAGAAAGCAAAACCTTTGCTTTTGCTTCTCTCAAGGGCTGCGTGTTGTTTCTTTTTTCCTCCTTCACACTCAAAGCGTTGCCCTCTTCCAAGGCTGTACAATTGCAGTTCTCACTTTCATAGGTCTTCTGCCCCAGGATATCAGGAGTGTTTGACAAGTCTCTGCTAAAGTAGGACACGTCCCTTGCTTTGCTCCAGGAGTGCATGGGACTTGCCAGCAGTCGTACCTCTGCCCATCCCTGCTGGGCTGATGGGCAACCACAGCTCCCAGGCTTTGTCTTCCCCTTCCTTTCAAGTTCTCAGCCAGGATGTTATACAGTAATATAACACCCAGCGATGGTTTTTGATAAAGGCAAACAATAATGATATAAATACTCCACTACTTATCACGACTTCTCTGTACCTCTGAACGCACAGGTAAAACCAACCAACCAGCCAAACCCAAGTGTTTCTTTGAGGTGAATGAATGGCCACTAGTGTACACCTAATGCCCTTGCTGTGGGCATTTCATCCTGCATCAAACAAGTGCCTCCTGAAGAACTTCCTCTCCTAAAGCAATTCCAATCACAGTGGCTTCAGTGTGTAGTCTTATCAGCATCTTTCCCTTTGAATCCCAAGGTCTGTTGTGCACAGAGTCCTCTGCAGAGCTTCAGCCCACAGGGGTCACACGTGGAGCTCTGTGCCTGTGGCATCATGTTAGCACGTCCTGGGGGTTGGATTTGTGCCTGGGTGGCTCACGGCTATGATGTGTTGCTGTAAATACATAGGATGTGTTGCTGTAAATGTACGAAACGCAGAGATGAAGAGGAATGTGGACGCAGACATATTTGTACACCCATCTCAATGGAGAGCTAGAACCAAATAAATCCCATTAGTTTCCCAGAATGTGGGATCCCTTCCTGCTTTGATGTGTGGATAATGCCATTTCCACATGTGAGATGCTGAATCAGGGGAGCGGAGCATTTCAGATTCTGGAAGTTAAGTGCAGAACCAGATTTAAGCTCTGTTCTGACTCTGTGGATTTGGGATTTAAATTATTGCTGCTTTTAGAGCAACGTCTTTGCACCTGGCTGTGCCCTTTGATGCTAAGCACTGCTCGATGCACCTTGAAGGATATAGAACAAGCCAAACCTTCCTGGTACCTGTTCCTACCATCCTCAATTTGAATGCCTAAATGGGAACTGGTGCATGAGATGCAAGCAGGGGCTGCATTTCCATCCCTTGAAGTCATCACACGGCTTTGCTGGGTCCCATCTCACTTCTGAGAGTGAAGCCCAGCACAAAGCAATGCCAACAGTCCCTCTGCTGCTGCCTTGCTTTGCACGTCTGGTTTCTAAGGAGTGAGATCTGCTCTCCTCTCTGATGGCATAAATGGAGAGTAATGTGTCTCCGTGAGTGATGGGGACCGTAATTTATATCATTGGGAGCGCATCTGTGAGCCAAGAGTTTACATTCATGTGCCAGGATCGTTTATGTTCAGAGCTCTGAAATGTGTGCAGCTAGTTAACATTTGTAGAGGCCTTTCATATTTTTAGATTAAAAAAATGGAAGAAATGTTGTTTTTCCTTCCATTTGGGTGAAATCCTTCAGTCAAAAGCAATGCCTGCCATTTCCAGGCACTCTTTTTGCAAACAAGAGCGAGGTTTGACCCACTAAAAGCACTCTGTTAAACACAAATAGTAACCATGGGTGCTCTGCTCTGCTCCACAGGCAGATGCTTATCTCTGGCGTTTAAGGTATTTATAGACCTCGGAATCTTTGAGGCTAAAAAGTGTTGCAGAAGCATAAAATGTCTTTGTGAACTCTGCACAGCTCTGAGTTTTCCCCAAGTCTGTGCCACCCGTGCATCACTTTTCTCCAGCGGATCCTCCAAGCTGTGTTTGTTCTGCTTTACAGAAGTCAAGGAGGATAATGAGGGAATTCAGCGCGTGTTTGTTTAGTGATTGGAGGTAATAACAGCCTTCCTGGCTCGGGGCAGGCTTTAGTCCTGGTGAATTAAAAAACAACGACACAAAGTAAAGGGATGCTGGAGCAAATTGCTGGGCACCTCGTGGTTTGCATCACCATGCAATGAAGGGCTCCCCACTGCTGCTCCCCTGATGGTGGCTCGCCATGGGTTGGGTGCAAAGAGGAGCAAAGTCTGTGCTGGCAGCTGGGTGGGGAGCGCTGTGCATCCCAGACTGCAGCACCTCGGAGGTGGGATTCCCCCCAGCCTGCAGTTCTGAGTTGTGCTCCCCCTCCCAGCACCGCCAGCTTTCTGCTGCTGGAGCTCAAACCGCTCCTGGCTGTTAATCCGTGAAAGTCTCTGTTAGAAATAAAATAAAAAATATATAAGGAAAAGTGCCTCTAAAAAGGTTTACGAGGCAGCAGTTTAAGCTACCAACTCCTCCGTGCTCGGGCAGCAGCTGGTTCTCATTGACAACTTGCCCGAGCCGGGAGCTGGGCTGGGAGCGCAGTCCTGATGCCATCAGTGCAGTGCAGAATTCCTGCCTGGATGCATCCCAGCAAAGCTGGCTTTAGGGCTGGGCAGGAGAGCTGCAGTGCCAGCATGGGATTTGGCAGAGCAGAGGGAAGCATCCGTCAGTTTTTTTCACTAAAACTTCAGCGTGGGATTAATCACAGAGTGTCAGTTACTTACAGGTATTTAGGTACCTATTTCCATCAGATCAAAGCAAATTAGAGCTAAATGGGATGTAAATGCTTCTGATGGTCAGAGCCTTTGTCTCTGCATGTTGCAGTCCCTGGGACAGAAATCGAGCAAACCCTGCATGCATCTCACAGTGAGACATGAGGAGGAGATCATCTTTAGGATGTTGAGATATTATGGGAGAAATGTCATGCATTTACCAGGCACCAGCAGCCCTCGTTGTGGCTCATCACAGATTGCTGTGTACAGCCCCATCCATCTCATGCTTGGGTGTGCTGCTCTACAGTGCAACAGTGTTTGCAGGAGGATTCCCTTTCTTTGCTTGGAGCATCTTCAGCAGTGAAGTCTCAAGCTCCTGCAATAGCAAATGTAACAAAAATAGCAATATGAACAGCAGCATTAACGTTAAAAGTGGCTGCTGATTTACAATTGCATTATTTTGGCCAGATAGTGGCAGAAGTGGAAACAATTCACGCTTCTCTACTTAATGCTTTAATTACTGTGCTTAGTTATAAGAGCCCACCACCACCCACTGCCATGCTTTCAGTACACACAGTTCCAGTTCTTCTCTCCCTCATTGCAATCTCACTGATGTTTGAAACATTCCCACCTGGTTTTCAATGGAGAATATAAAGGACCGCTTCCAGTTTCGTGGCACTGTGTTCATCCCAAGGCTCAGCACCGTCCTGGAGCTGCTCTGTATCCCCGCACACCACAAACCGACGTCTCTTCTTCCACTTCCAGGACTGCCCCCAGCTCTTCCCCACCGAGGAGATCCTGATCCCGGTTGGAGAAGTGAAACCCATCACTTTGAAAGCCCGGAATCTTCCACAACCTCAATCTGGCCAACGTGGCTACGAATGTGTGCTGAACATCCAGGGCGTCATCCACCGCGTGCCCGCGCTGCGCTTCAACAGCTCCAGCGTGCAGTGCCAGAACAGCTCGGTGAGCACAAAGCTGCCTCCTGGTTTAGCTGCACTGACCTGTGTGTGTGGCACACTGCAGTGCCCAGAGTGGGCTGCTGCTGAGGAGGAGGTGGGTTTGGCTGGGGGGGAGGGGAGGATTCAGTGCCTGAAGGCGGGGTGTAAGAAACAGGACAGACTCGGGTAGCAGGGTGATAGGACCAATGGGGAATGGATTCAAACTTAAAGAGGGGAGATTTAGATTGGATATAAGTAAATAATGGCAGTGAGGTGTTGGCCAGAGGGGTGATGGAGTTCCGTCCCTGCAGACCCTTGAGCACCTGAGCATCTGGTGGAGCTGTGGCTGCTCCTCTTCAGTGCAGGGCAATGGGAGCAGATGGCCTTTAAAGGTCCCTCCCAACTCAAACCATTCTATATTTTATGATTCTGTGAATCACCTGGGGGTGCTGCTAAGAAGCAGGTGGGGAAGGCAGCTCTGCCCTGCATAGGATGGGGCTCAGCAGATGGCAGGGGCTCTTCAGAGGGGTTGCAGGGCGCCCATGGTTGGGTTTGGCCATCAGCACAGGGAACTTTGGGTGTGCTTTAATATTCAGTGCAGACAGTCTTAAATTGTTAATCAAGTTTTGAATTTTTTAAAGTTGTGCTGGGTATTTATACATCACTGGCTGTCTGTGGGCCTTGCAGCTTGGTGGCTAATAAATGTATTAATACCGTGTAGCACTTCTCCCATCCAGAGCGATTTATAAACATTAGGGGAGCGCTTTTTCCTCCTGTTAGGCTGATGGGAAGTGGTAGGTAGAGAGTTTAAGGGCAATTCTGCACGAACATCTCCATCAGCTGAGCAGAGGATGTGGTTTTGTAACAACTCAGTGAAGCCCAGCAAGGTAAAACCCTGGAACCAAGTGTGAGTTAAAGAAGGACAGCACTGCATGGAGCAGTCTGCCTCAATGGCAGTGGTTTTTTAAGCCTTTTTAGTGGCTCTTAATGAACTGGAGGGGCCATATTGATGAGCTGGGGCTGAGCAACAGGAGCAGCTGCTGCAAGGGGAGGAATTAATCCATTACCTCTCTCAGGGACTAGGTCTGATTTAATTATCTGCACACAGTGAGGAGGAGGGAGGCAAAGCAAGACCCTGAAGCTGGAATGTGGAAATGGTGGTGGATCAGCGACCAGCATGTGATGCAGAGAATAATCACTGCTTCTTAAAAAACCCTCCCTTCCTGGCAGTATCTCTGATGCACACTCCCAAGCGTTTCATTCTTCCTCTTCTTCTCCAGTATCTCTACGATGGGATGGACATCAGCAACTTAGCAGTGGACTTTGCTGTGGTGTGGAATGGGAACTTTGTCATTGACAACCCGGAGGATGTGAAAGGTAATGTGGGCTGTGGGGGCTGCTGGGGGCTTGGGCAGTGAGGGCAGGGGCAGCTCCATACCATGGCAATGGGAAAACCACTGAAAGCCCTGAAATGAAAGCTGTAAAAGCAATCTATAGAAAGAATGACTTCTAGAAAACATCCAATGCTTCTAATTACAGCTGTTATGAAACTTTGTCCAGGACCTCATCTGGGAGCACTCATGGAACCCAGACCAGGCTACCTGGGGAGTGTGGGTGGTTTCAGGGAGCTGCTCCTTAATTCAGTTCCTTGGGGCAACCTCAGTGTTTGCGGAGGGTTGGGAGCACCACTCAGCACTGCGCTCTCTGCTCTCTCCCCACAGTGCACCTTTACAAGTGCGCAGCACAGCGTGAGAGCTGCGGGCTCTGCCTGAAGGCCGACCCCAAATTTGAGTGTGGGTGGTGCAGCGGGGAGGGCAGGTGCACCCTGAGGCCCCATTGCAGCCCCCAGCCCTGGCTCGACTGGTCCAGCAGGAACGTCAAATGCTCCAACCCACGCATCTCTGAGGTAAGAGCACTCAGCTGTGCATCCCGCTGGCGCTGGGTGGGCTCAGGGCTGTCTCCATCTCCTATCTGAAGGGTGGAGGGTTCAGTGCCCCAGTGCTGAGCACTGTGGATGCATCGCAGCCAAGCAGGGTGTGGTGCACAGCTCCATTGCGTGGCTGTCGCTCTCTGCCCTGCTGCTGGCATTGGGGTGACCACCACGGGCTGGCACAGGAATGCTGATTAAACCAGAGAGTTAATTAGGCTGCAGCTGACGTGTCTGATGTTCGCTTTCAGACCGCTGAGGGATGCAAAGCGCTCCCAGGAGCTTTTCCACAGCAAAGCTGCTCGTGGGCTGTTAGCGCTGCTGCTAAGAGTGACACTGCTGTCAGGAGGGAATGAAATATTTTGCCGTCTTGCTTAATTAACTCCCCCAAACCCCTGAGCAGCCAGGTCGAAGGAGAATGACAGAGGCCCAGGAGAAACACTGCGAGGTCGATATCCCTAATCCCAAACCCTCTGGGCACAGAGGTCAGCTCCTGTCTCTTTCCCCTTTGCCCAGAGAAGTGTTTATGGTGCTCTTGGAAATGGTGGGACTGTTGCAGCCTTGGGTTCTGTAGATGTCACCTGAGATTTTGGTGTTCCCCAGGTGCCACTTGAAGCATTCATTGCTATTGGGCTCTGGACCAAAAGCCCAGCACAGAAGCATATGGGATGTACTCAGTCCTTGTTTTGCACTGAGACCCTCTAACGTTACAAAACTTCCACCCGGCCTGTGGTCCTGGCAATAAATAAATAAAAGTCAGTTTTCTTGCGAACAAGCGGCACTCTGATCTCCTATTCACTTATTTGAAGGCCTCATTAATATAACATCAGTGCAACAAACAGCTGAAGGGGGGGCAGTGTCAGCCTGAATAATGGAGTTGCTCTGCGGAGATAACAATTAGGTTCTGAATGTGCCATCAGCCAAGGCAGAGAGGAGGAGGGATCATGCAGTGATGACAGTGCTCGTCTGCTGGCTCCTGCTGGGCTCATCAGCTGGGATGGGGCTGCTTGGAGCAGTGGGGAAAGGACAAAGAGTGAAGGTGACTGTGGCTGGAGAGGGGGCAGGGGGTTTTCTCTGTGCACCCAAACAGATGCTCACTGTAGTGCAGGAGTGGTGCAGGCTGTGGAAAGACAGCACTGGTCTGAGTCTCGCTGTCTCATGCTCATTGTGGCTAAATCTTGTGTTATAGAATCATTAAGGTTGGAAAAAAAGCACTGGGATCATTTAGTCCAACCATCAACCCATCACCACCGTATGTCAGCTTGTGCAGGAGGTGGGGCTGAGGCCCTGCGCCCTCTGTTATTAAAGCAGCACGCTCTGCAAGGTGGGGAGAGCTGCTGCACTGCAGCATCCCAGTGGGCCACAGTGTGTGAGCTGCTGAGCTACCAAGTCATGAAGGCAGGTGGAAGCGAGCAGCTCAGTGTTGTTGGCTGGGTGCTCTTCCTCCCAGTGCTCCCCATCCTGCACAGCAGCCCCGGGTGCCCCACGATGGACCTTGAAGGCTTCTCCTCTTTCTGAGATTTTGACTGAATCTCTCCAGCTGCAATTAATTGAATGCATCTGTTCTAACCCTGGGGCTGCTTTATGGCACAGTTACTTCAAAACTGTTCAATTAGCGACCACTAAAATCTAGGTCGAGTGGAGCTCCATATTGGGGATTTTCCAGGTCAGGACGTTTTCAAAATACAGCATCAGCCCCTCATTGTTTGGTGAGGCCATTGGCTGCGCTCCGGTTGGGGAACGGCGAGCTGTGGCTGTTTGTTGGAGATGGGAAGGGACCGAGGAGCCAATGAGCAGTGCAGTGCTACAACAAAACACGTCTTAACGTAATCTGGAGCTGCAAAGGACAGTTGTAGCTGTCAAGTATGTGAACCGCCAGGCTCAGGTGATCCCTGGTGATGGGAGCATTAGTGGTGCAGCCTTCAGGACTCGGCGTAATGCGCTGCAGCTTGGTTTGTAGCATGCCTTGTGGGCACGCAGAGCTAAGTGCTACAAGGCTCCCCGTGTGGTGTGGGTTACAGCACACAGCAGTGCATGGGGGTGGGTTGGAAACCTCGGTTTGGGGAGAGAGGGAAGCAGAAATGGAAGCTCTGGGGAAGGTGCAGGAAAAGCAGCCGGGCAGAAGCACCAAGGAAAGGTCTTGGGGAGCTGAAATCTTGTGCCAAAAGTGAGGATGGAACCAACGTGCAGAATTAAGATTTATCCATTAAGTTAATTGAAGTGCATTATTATAGATTATGTTGTTTATTAATACCAGCTGTAGCACTGGGAAGATTAGTAGCTCACCCGAGAGCGGTGGCAGATTCAAAACAGTTGTTTAAGAGTCTTGGGTCCCAAACTTGAGCCTATATGTTGTTGTAATTTGTACTGCTCATGGAAGAGAGTGTTGTCCTTGATGAAAGGCTGTAGGAGCAGAGCTGACTGAGGCTCAGGCAGGCTATAAGCAGGCAGCTTTAGAGCACACACCTCACCCTTCAGCATTTTGAGCCACTTGAGGTGTCAGCTTACTGATAAATGTGCTATCTGCATTCAGAGAGCAGCCAAGGCAGAAGGTAACAAAGTTCTCCACAGCAGCAGGCAACTGCTGGAAGGTTATTTGCTGCCTTATGTAGTATGTGAAAAGCAGCCAGGCTTCTGCTTCACACAGAGCTGGGACCTGATGGCCAGCCTGGAGAGCAAGAAGAAAATGCACAAGCAGTAGAAGCAAGGACGGGTGCCCTGGGAGGAGGATAGGGATGTTGGTGGGCTGTGTAGGAACAGGGTCAGGAAAGTCAAGACCCAAATGGAACTGGACTTGGCAAGGGGTGCAAAGAAGAACAAGAAAGGCTTCTACAGGTCCATAAAACAGAGGAGTTGGACTAGATGACCATGTTCACACAATTCTGTGATCCTTCTTCTCCCCGGGGGTGGCATTGTCCCTCTGTGTCTCCCTCAGGACAACGCATGTGGGTTCCAGCTTTGTTGACTGCTCAGTGAATGCGGCAGGCAGGGTGGGATCTGCCTCCAACCCAGGGGGCTCTGCAGAAAGCAGCCTGACCCCTGTTGTGCTTCCCTTTAGATCCTGACGGTGTCGGGACCCCCAGAAGGAGGCACCAGAGTGACCATCCGTGGCGTCAACCTGGGCCTGGACTTCTCAGAGATTGCCCGTGGTGTGCAGGTGGCAGGAGTGCCGTGTGCTCCTCTGCCGGAGCAGTACATCATCGCCGAGCAGTGAGTGACCTCAACTTATGGACACAACACCTCCACCACCTCCCAGCCCCACAGCAGTGCAGGAACAGGGTTGGCTGAGGTGCTGGGTGCTTGCTGGGGGGGGGGGGGTTAAGCAGCCCTGTAAGCTTTCACAGAGTGTTTTGTTTCCTTCTGCGCTGCTTTGCTAAGCAACTTTCCTTCTGAGGCTCTGCCCCCTCCGCTCCCCTTGTGCTTGAGATGCAGCTGGCACTGCAGGCTGTGTGCTGCCATTTGTTAGGCGCGAGGTGCTGACAGCCACCTCATCCGAGCAGCCCTCTGTTGGAGCCCATTCATTTATTTCACTAAGAAAAAATGTCAGCCAAAAATTAGAAAATAGGCTTGTAACAGAGGACGGGCGAATAAAGCTCCTACGGTGACACTGATCCTGCTGGGGAGGGCTGGTGCCACTGCTGGGAGCAGGATGGTGCAGGGGGTGCCAGGGCTGCTCGTGGGGACGCTCACAGCAGCATGGATGTGCCCTGGGAGCAGCTGTAAACCACCATCCTCTGGCATTGCCATCCATTTGGTGGGTCCCAGTCTGATCCACCCGTCACCAAGATGTGTTGTCAGTGCAGTTTTGCTCATTGCTCTTACCTGTACCATGGATCTCCCTTCCCCGATCCATCAGCATTGCCATCACTGCATGAAGGGCACTGCAGAGCTGCTCAGCACCATCAGTGCCTGCTCAGCTCCAGGCATGTGCAGAGCAGTCAGTGCCCGTGGCTGGCGCTGTTCCACCAAGCAGAATTTTGTTGTATCTTATTTTTCAGATAAAGGACAGAATATGATAAAACTTCCCTCCTTTGATGGTACGAAGCCCTGATTTTATAATCATGACTCTAATTACGGCTCTTGAGCTTTCAAAGTTTGTTAACATCATTAAAACATTTACCCTGGGCAGATAACAGCAAGCGTTAGCATGAGAGCTGCCTTTTAAAGATGAATACAGATAAAAGGACCCTCTTAAGGCTTCTGTGGGCAGACTGAATTCCAAGACTGTAATGACTCACCATATGCTCCAGCCACGCAATCTATCAGCCAGCAATTAGGTTAATGTTGGTGAAAGGGCCACTTAGCCCAGCAATCAGCACCCTACAGCGGTGCCGAATGCATCATTTTGTAACAAGGTACCTGCTGGGGATTTGGCTTTGATTGGGAATCAGGATCAGGTGCACCGGGGTCACTCCACCCCCTGCTGCTTCCTTCCTGCCTGGTGTTGCATGAGGAATGCATGCAGTGCCTGTGGGTGCTGCTTTGCTGGGAAGCATCAAGAATTGTTGTGTTTCCTCCCATGGGTGGCACTTGGTGGATGCATCCTCTTGCATACCTGCTGCAGGATTGCTGGGATCATCCCAGCCTGCAAGCCCTGACCCTACAGCAGGCCAAGCAACAAAGCAGCAGTGGAGAGTAGAGACATGCCATGGCCATGGCTGGATAAAGGCAGAGTGAGGAGCACGTGGCACTCTGAGGCACTTCCCTTTGTGTTCTCTAAAGACAGCATCTCTCTGGGCAACCCATTTTCATGTGCAGCAATGAGGTGCACATCAGAGCTCGTTATTAGCATGTGTGTATTTTGTTGGGCCTCCTGGCAGCACCTGTGCCTGCAGTCTGCAGGTTCTTTCGTCTCTTTATTTTCTTTTACCTGCAGTGAATTTAGTGCTGCTGAAATTCTGCCTTCACAGATTGGAGCCTTTCATGCGTTCTCATGTGGTCGGGGGAAAAGCAAGCAATTCCCCTCCTGCTTTGCAAAAGCACCTTCAGCTGCAGTGAGGGAGGGGAATTTGGCTTTTTTCTCTGGCTCCTGAGGCTGAACATCATTGAGCATTTCCTTGCCTGTGCTGCTGCTCCTGCACGTTGTAGCTTTCTCGTACCCCCAGGCCTCTCTCCAGGATGCTCATGACCTTTTTCCATGGGAGCAAGCAGCAATCCCTCCAAGTGTAGCAGAGGAGCCCTGCCAGCCCTTTGCAAACCTCTCCCTGCATCTCCAGCAGACTTGCTGTCATTGCCAGGGGCCGTGGGTTGCAGCTTTAAGCCATCACAGTGCACCCCAGCAGCTCCTGCTCAGGCTTTCAGTGACCCCTCAGGATGCCCCCAGGACGCAGAGGGACACAGGACTCATGGCGGTGCTTTACCCTGACCCTGTTATCCATGTGGGTGCATTGTGCAGCAGCTCTCCCTGCCTGCACCGTGCTTTCTCATCCCCAAGCAGGTTTCTGTGTTTTTGATTAACTGGGAGACTGCAGTGTGAGCTGTTCCCTTAATGAACTCATCTGTTACTCTAAGGACTTAGCACTCACTTTGCTACTGGCTAATATATTGCCATTAGTGCTCTGCTTTGCTCTGGAGTTTACAGCTTGTAATAATTATGTCTAATTTTGATTTTATTTTTTTTTTTTCCCTTGAAATTACTATGTGGGGGTAAAAATAGACTCAGTAATTAACTCCTTCCAAAAGAAGCAGATATCAGAGTAAAAGAGGGGAAAGGAGAAAAATAACACAGCGAGCAGCCAGCCCTGTGCTAGCAGCCCCTGGCAAACCCTCACTGCAGCGTTTCTGCTTCCAGGATCGTCTGTGAGATGGGGCAGGCACTCCCTGGGATCAGCTCTGGCCCAGTGCTTCTGTGCATCGGAGAGTGCAAGCCTGAGTTCACGGCCAAGTCGGTGCAGCACTACACATTTGTGGTGAGTTCCTTACGCTGGGGGGGCTGAGCACGTCTCTGTTGCACCTGAGGCAAACCCATGCTTTTCCAGTGCTTTCACCCTGGCATTGCATGAGCAGCGCATTGGCAGCCCTTCACCGTGCTCCCAAGGTGTAAAGCTCACACAGGCCTACAGAAGAAGCAGTGTTTAGGTAGGAGGCTTTGCACGGCATTTGCTTCCAGCTTTGTGCCTCTGAATAATGGCAAGCTTTGAATTGCTGCTCAGGGCTCCTCCAAGCAAAGTGGGTTGTGTGCTCAGAGCAGGGCTGCTTTGCAGAGCTGTGCTCGAGGACTCCTGTACATGTGGTCTTGTCATGGGGTTGCGGTCAGGACTCAAAATCTTCCTGTGTTTTGGGGAAGGAAGAGTAAAGAAGGAGCCTTGTTATAGGGAAGAAATCTCTGCTGTTGCTTCTTGCTGGTTTTGAAGCTGTTTGTTTGCATTTGTGGTACAGATACACACACATATATATATGGTGCAGGAGCTGATGGGACTTTGGCACAAGCACAGAAACACACAGAGAAGGACAGCAAGTGCCTGAGCCCATCCTTCTGTGGTTCAGGCATTGAGGTCCTGCTAGAAACTCCTTTTAATCACCTGCCTGTGAAACCTGAACAGATCTGGAGTAGTTTGTTCTGTTGGTTTATTCTTTTTCTTTTGGGATGGAGGAGTTACTCAGGATCCAGTTATTCAATGATTTTATTTTATTTTTTCTCCTCTCAAGGATGCCGGCTCAACGTAGGCTTCCTCTGTCTGCCTAATGAAGAGCTGTTCTTTGGTTGGGGTTCTGTGCTGGTCAGTGGGTTATTTAATTAGCATCCTTTTGATTCATAAACCTAAAGCTACAGCTGGGGTTCCTCCTATCTCCAGTTCTGTCTAAATAGGGCACTTCATCCCACCACATTGATTTTGTGCTGAGTGGAATCTGTGCATGCAGTGCAATGCCAGCACAAACTGATTGGCCACAATCTATAACCCAGTGGAGAGGGAAATCAGGGCAGCCCCACCATCCTATGGGTTTGCATTTCCCCAGGGGTGCAGAACACCGGGGTGCCAGCAGTTGCTAGAGCCCAACCACGATAGGAATGCATTGAACATTACCATCCCTTGCTGATTTTCAGCACCTTGATGATGATTTTTTTTTCCTCAGGCATCTAAAACTTTGCGGACATCATTTCCTTCTGTTACTTGGCCTCTATTTTTTCTTGCTGGCACCTCCACAAATTCCATTACAGCTGGTTTATGCCATTAAAGTCAGTAGTAAAATTGATTGGTACCTTAAAGCAGAGCTGTGTTCTGACCCTGAGAGGGTTCATGCCTTGGTGAGCTCATCTGGTGCTGCAACCAGGCAGGAGCTCAGCTGTCACCGTAATTACACCCATTGTACCCAGGGAAGTGGGACCTTGGAGCTACTTCAGCTCCATAAATCTGTCATAATTATCACCAAACCGTGAGCTGAAGATGGAAGATTCTGACTTAGCTTTCAGTCCTTCCTGCAGTACTGGCCTTGTCCCAGCCTTGGAGTTGCTGCAGGTACGCAGTGTGCGTACTCAGCTCTTCTGCCTTTCCCTTGTTTAGAAGAAGAACCACTTGGGGTGGTTGTCCACAGCAGGGTGGGCTCTGTGCAGTTCAGGTGAGCACAGCAATGAGAAGTTGGGGTCACGAGTGCAGGGCAGGATGGCAAGGTGGCACTGCTGCAGTAGTCCCATGGGTAAGTGTTGAGTGGGATGAGGACACAGGCTGAGATGCTCTCCCTTCATCACCAACTGTGAGCTCTGTCCCCACATCACCACCACTGCAGGTTCCGTGGAGCTGGAGCTGCTGGCACTGCTTTGTGCTGCTGTCATGTGCTGTTTCCCATGACCTGCTTCTTTAATATGACAAACCTTAACCATTTGTGTTCCGATGTCCATTGTGCTGCATTTGTGCTGTATTTCATTTTTGAAACCGCGGAGCAAACAGCTTTATTTCTCTAAGAACAGAGGTGAAGGTAAGTAGATAATTTTGCCCAGGCTAAACTTGCAATTACATTGTAGGGATGTGTTTCACTCACAGCAGGATCCAGCATTTCAGCAGCAGCTGTATCAGGTGGCCATGACGCAGCTCCATTTTGCTTTTCCATTTTAAAAGCAGAGGGTGGGATGCTGCCAGCACGGGGATGATGAGCTGTCCTTCTTTCTGCAGACACCAACTGTGAGCTTCCTGAGCCCCAGCCGTGGCCCTGAGTCAGGTGGGACGCTGGTGACCATCACAGGGCAGCACCTGGGTGCTGGCAGCCACGTCTCCGTGCTCCTGGGCAACCAGAGCTGCGCCTTTCAGGGGTAAGGGCTGGGCTGGGGGCTGGGGGTTGTGGGGCTGAGCACGCTGCCACCTCAGAAATCATAGTCTTGAAGGCTGGAAAAGATTTCTAAGATCATCAAGTCCAACTACCACTAGCATTAATTCAGGCTGTCCCCATCATGCCCTCTAACCACGTCACCAAGTGCTACATCTCCATGTTTCATGAACACCTCCAGGGACCACGACCCCACCACGCACCTGGGCAGCCTGTGCCAGTGCATCAGTGCTCCTTCAGAGAAGAGATTTTTCTTAATATGCAGCCTGAAGGGGATATCTCTCCTCTAAAAACCATTGGAGTGAGGCAGGGCTCTGAAATTACGGAGCAGAGGAAGGATCCTCACCCGCCTCCTGCTGTGGAACGTACACAGCCACGAGCCTCCTCTGGGATTCCCATGGCAAATTTGCTTTTTACCCAGCAGTGTAAATGCAGAGTTGACATTTGCAGGGTTTAATGGGTTTTCTTGGGCTTAGTTAAAAAAAGATACAAGCAGTATACGTCTGTGTGCATCACACACACATCCCCACATGGGGTGTCCCCAGGTGCCCCAATGCCACCAGCGTAGTGTCACACTGCAGGCAGTCATGCAGGACAGAGGAGACTGCTCTCCATGAAGACATTCCTCACGCTGAGCAGATGAGATCTGCATGGGGCTGCAGAACAGAGAATGCCAAAAGGACCCTTTGCTTTTTCTCTGCGCCTTGCAACCCAGGAGCTTACATGAAATGTAAGCGTGGAAGGATTCTGCCTTCTAAATCCCAGCTCCAGCTCGCCAGCAGGAGCCAAGGAGGTATTTGGGAATGGAATGACCCCTGGAGGTGAAATTCTCATCTGAAAGACTTCAAGATTCATGAATATGGGACCTGTGAAGGTGCAGCCATGGGATTTTATTGGCTCAGTCCTGCCAAGTAGCGAGGAGCAGGATGGGAGCTAGGACCTGGACTTCCCCACTTATGCTGTGGCACCAGATGAAGGAGATGGAGATCAGAAAGGGTTGGACCTGCCGAGCTCTGCAGCTGCAGACAGGCTCTCCAAGTGCTACATTTGGCAACCACTCCACTGGCATTTCTTCCTGTGTCCGGAGCAAAGCTGCCAGATTGCATCCTCGGTGCACACAGGTGACCAATTTACTGCCAGGAGAAGCAGCCACGAGCAGAATTGGCTTTGTAATAAAATTCCATAAATATAGGATTGCATTCAGGGAACCTGCAGATACCGACCTGCAAAACCTGGAGCAGATCTGAATTCTTGGTGTGTTCTAATTACACCAGGCAAGCAGAAACTTAAACAAAGCAAGCAGCAGTGTATAAATGACACCATCTTTCTCGTGGGGTCACACTGTGCACTTTGTTTTGCTTGGACTGTTTTGTGGCAGTGAACTTCAATTGTACTGGAGGGTGTGGGGGAGCCTGATTAGATGAAGCAGTTTCTAATGAGATTCACTCTAATTACAGCTTCCCCCATTCTCCCAGCTTGGATCGGAGGAGTGGGTAGATTCACCATGACGACACAATAATAGCACAGAGCTAATTAACGAGCGGCGGGGCAGGCAGAGCTGGGGCAGAGACGTGGTGTGATGGTGCAAAGTGGGACAAAGGGATGCAGGGAGCAGGGATGGCACAGGAAAGCATCCATAGGAACAGCCAAGCGTGGTCGGTTTTGGATATTTTAGGAGTTTTCTGTTGTCTTGGTGACGCTGGGTGGGTGTGCAGATGGTGCAGCACTGTGGTACCCGAGGGTGGATGTGAAGGAAGGTGAGGATTTGGGAGGGCCCTGGAAAGGGAGCACAGCGTACGTATGGAGACACGGGGCTGTGCAGGATGCACATCAGTGCACATGCTGAGCTGTGTCACAGCTGCTCAGGCACCTTGGTGGTGTGTGCAGCATGGCGAAGTCGGTGATGATGGAACGGTGGTGTGCCAGGGTTTGATTTCCAGCTAAAGAGTGCCAGGCTTTGATGGAAGTGCCATAACAGCAGCGTAACGCCGAGGAGCTGCCTGTCGTCTCCCCTGTGCTGGCAGAAGAGAAGCCAAAGCTAAATGAGCCGTGGCAGCAGCATGGCCCTTCCTGTCCTCAGGGACTTGAGTTTGGGCACTGGACTCTCGGGGACATGGCTCTGCTGCTTTGCACAAGTGGCCCTGTGGTGCTGTGGAGCTCAGCAGCTCTGTCCCCAATGAAAATCCCCAGCCCTGCAGTGGTGTGGGGGAGCTCTACTGACTGCACTGCCCAACTGCTTTGTACTCCAGCAGCCAGCCTGTACTGTGGGGGAAGCAGATGCCCCGCCGTGCCCAGCAGCACCAAGCAGGGGTCATGCTGTGCTGGTGGGCAGACAGGGAACAAAGCAGTGCTGGCAGCATGGTGCTCCCCAAACTGGGGCTTCGTGAGCCTGTTCTGCAGCTCATGAGGCTCTGTGCGTGCAGTGAGGTGGGGAGGGAAAGAATTTGGCTTTGGAGCAAGCTGCTGCATCCCATTTAGAAAGCGGCCATCTGTTTTCACACGCCCAACAGAAGGCGGCGGGTGCAGGGAGGGATGCGGGAGGCTGCAGTTTGGCACAAAGCACGTGTGCCTTTCTCCTGGTGGGCAGATAAGGTCTCTTCTTGCACGGGGCTCTGCCCCCTCTTGTGCCTGCTGGGCCACTTTGTGTATCTCGGTGCACAGGGCTCAGTGATGGTTCTGCCTTCGTATGAGCTGTGGGGTGGCCCCATGGGGACAGGGATGCTCTCTGCCCACTGACACTTCCTCTGCTCCTTTCCACGCAGGCGATCCATGAGTGAGATTGTGTGCCTGTCAGCACCCTCAGCACACGGCCTGGGGCCCGTCCACGTCTCCGTGAGCGTTGACCGTGCTCAGCTCGAGCAGACTCTGCTGTTTGAATACATCGATGACCCCAAAGTGCAGAACATTGAGCCTGAGTGGAGCATCGCCAGGTAATGCAGCTCAGGGGAACTCACCTGCCCTGTGCCATTGGGAATGCATGTACCACTCATGTCCTGCATCTCTCAATGCCAAACGTCTGCAACATTTGCACTGACCAAAAGTCAGATCTGAAGTTATTGAAGTAGTTGTCATTTATCTTGACAATTACAGCCATCCAGCCTACACCTGGATTGTGGGTGCATGAATAAAGCCCCAAGATTGCTTTCATCTGCTGAAGGAGTGCACAGTTGCTCATTAAAGCTTCCTTTTCATGGCTGTGGAATAAAATAAAACCAGCAATCACGAAGAAATGGGAAAGCTGATGCTAATCAGAACATAGTAGTTGTCCAACACCAACTGGTGGGAGCTGCATGGGACTGGGATGCTGTGATGTTAAAATCCTGGGCTGTCCTCATGCCCTGGTATTGCTACAATGGCTGTGCTCAGGTTCATTTCAAATTCCAATCATTTCTCAAAGTTGGCCATGGAGGAAATAAGTACCTCTCAGCAGCTCTGTTGCTCTGAGCCCACATTCAAGCTCACTTCTCGTTTTGGGTTGGATGGGTGTCAGAATGGCAAACTGACAGCATCAACCAAACAGCAAAGCTCTGCTGTGGAGGTGATGGAGGTTTTGGTGAATTTGGGCTGTGCAGCTGCAATTGACACATGAAAGGAGCAGCCAGGAGTGGAAGGCACTTTGTGTGCGTGCTGCTCAGCAGTTCCCTCCCCACGCGCCATTCATCGCCCGCTGCCTCGCGCCTTGGAAGCGCCGCTGTGTAAATCATTAAACGCCGTGACTAATTTATTGTTCTTCACGTTTAGTCTCGGCTCAGTTGGTTTCTTTAGTCCCGTTTCTCATCCTGCTGCCTTGAAGGGCTCCTCCATGGGAGAGGGCACAGCTGTGAGGAGAAAAGCTGGCTCACGTGGGCACCGCTGCCCTGCGACTCGAGATGGGCTGGGAGTCCCTGGGGTGCCAACTTTGAGAGAGCAGCGAGCATCCCTGTGGCCAAACGCTGGCTTCCCCTTCACCAGGCAACTAACGAGGGCTCTCTGGTTCCCTGCAGTGGGCACACGCCTCTGACCATCACTGGCTCCAACCTGGACATCATCCAAGAGCCGCGCATCCGCGTCAAGCACAACGGCAGGGAGTCCATCAATGTGAGTAGCTGTGGGCAACGTCCCATCCGACACTGTCACTGGAACCTGTGCTTTCTGCTTGGCAAAGGCTACTTGGGGGTCTGCCCTATGCTTAGCCCCACTCTTAGCAGCAAGACGTGGAGGCAGGAGTCACGACACACAGAAATTTCCTTGCACCTAGCTCAGCTCTGCTTGGTGATGCAGGGATCTGACCCCATCATCCCAACTGCTTCCCCTCCTTGCACGTGGTGCTCCCAGTGTTTGGGGGAAGCTGAGTGTTATTTTTCACGCCTCCGTCTCAGCTAGCACCAGCCAAGGCCTCTATTTAAACCATTTGTTCCACCGTTCATAAACTGCTGTGGAAAGCAATGTTCTTGTACGTTACAAATACAAATTGCACCTCCAGTACACTTGGAAATTATTTTGATCAAGTAAAACTGAAAAATACTGTTTCTGTGCAGTGATCTTTCTGAACCTGCATTATCTTGGAAAGGGCAAGGCTGTTAGCAGCAGTTTCCCATCCCCTCTTTCCCTTCCCCCCAAAGACCTTTTCATTCTGAGCTCTTTTTAAAAACATCTCATTTTGCTGTTAGCGCTTACAGTGTTACGAAAATAATTCTGAAGGCACAAAATTGAGTGAAATCTTTCACTTACGGCTGGCCCCTTGCTGCTCTGTGAGCCAGCAGCTCCTGCTGCGGGGCTGGGGGGAGCCGGGGGTGTCTGCAGCCCCCAGGAGGTGACCTCCGTGCTGCCCCAGCCCCATGCTGTCAGGGGATGGCCTGTCTCAATCTCTAACATCAGAGAGATGCCTCTAATCACCAATTTGCAGCAGAGGCCAGGTGTTCATTATAGGTCTGTTTCAAAGCTAGTGCTGCCAGCAAGGGTGCAGCTGGGAAGGAAAGAAAGAAAAAAGACCAAGTGTTTCGGTGTACAATCCTCCACCTTTCTTCAAACATTCTCATTGTGAAGCTCTCTCTGTCTCTGCTCCAGCACCTTTGTGCTGGCTGCACGGGAAGCAAATCTTCCCAAACGATGGGTGTAAGGTGTTGAGCCTTGATTAAATACCTCCAGCAGAGCTGGAATCCGCCAGAGCTTTCAGGGAGTACTTAGGGCCCCGGAGCATCGCTGTGCAGGTCGGAACCCCCCAGCACGGGGCAGTTCCCCAGCACCACTCAGAGTCCCATCCACAGGTGTGTGTGGTGCTGAATGCCACAGCACTGAGCTGCCTTGCACCCGCCCTGGCCCCCGAGCCCCGGCCCACCATGGATGCCGTCGAGCGACCCGATGAGTTCGGCTTCATCTTCAACAACGTGCAGTCCCTGCGGGTCTACAATGACACCAAGTTCATCTACTACCCCAACCCCACCTTTGAGCCCCTGAGCTCCAGTGGGATGCTGGAGCAGAAGCCGGGGTCACCCATCATCCTGAAGGTAAGGGGACCTCTGCTCATCCCATGGGATGGGATCGGTGCTGGGATGGGGTTGGAAGCTCCTCAAACCCAGCAGAGCCAAATGCACTTTGGTGTTTCATATCTGTGTGTACCCTATGGCTCTCACCAGCAGAGCTCAGTGAGAGAAAACCCACATGCATGCCATCATCACCGAATGGTTGAGGTTGGAAGGGACCCCTTGGGATCATTTAGTCCAACCCCTCTGCTTCAAGCAGGTTCCCTAGAGCACATTGCCCAGGATCGCATCTGGGTGGGTTTTGAGTATCTCCAGAGACTCTGCCACCTCTCTGGGCAACCTGCTCCAGTGCTCTGTCGGTCTCACTAAAGCCATTAAAGGTTTTTCATGCATTGGCCATGCAGAAATCTCTAGAAGCATGCAAAGCTTCCACTCAGGAGGGCCCAGAAAGCAATGAGTGGGGGATGAGTTCTGTCCCTGTTTGGAGACCAGGATACACTAAGAGGAGCCCCCATCGTTTGTGCCAGCGGGGAGTGGGAATGAAACGCATGGAAACGCACCGCATCCTTGTACAGTCTTCTCCACCTCTATTGCCAGGGCAAAAACCTGTGCCCGCCTGCTTCTGGAGGAGCCAAACTCAACTACACAGTGCTGGTTGGAGAGACGCCCTGCACCGTCACCGTGTCTGAAACACAGCTGCTGTGTGAGCCACCGACCCTCAGCGGGCAGCACAAAGTGACGGTAGGCACCGACCGCTGCCATCAGAGCCCCTTCCTCCTCCTCCTTCCTGACCTGCTCAGAGCTGAGTGCAATTTCTCGTCCAAAGACTGCAGGATTTTAGATCTTTATGGCTGTCTAATTGAAAGCTTAAAATATTGATGAGGATTAGCGTGGTGAAACTTCTTATTGCCTCCTTGAGACTCGCTGCCCACTGTCAAAGCCTTCCAAAAAGAATAAATATTGAGGGCATTCAGCCCCAGACTCCAGCCTTTCCCTGGTAAGATGAGCTGTAGTGTGCTGTGTTCCCCTCCTGTAGAGCTGGAAGGGATTTTAGCAGTCCTTGTAGCCAGATCTGCTTTGCCAAGTGGGTGGCAGGAGGATTTGGCTTTTCCTGAGGCAGAAGGAGCCAGGAGGTCCGGACTGCTCATCAGGATGCTTCGCTTTGGTTTTGGGCACTGCTGCTTTCCCCAGACTGAGCACTCAGTTGTAAAAGTGCTCGAGCAAAGCCTGATGAGGTTGCAATTGTGATTTATTTCTCTTTAAGTTCAGCATCCAAAAACTGTTCAGTTATCATTGTGGCTCGCAGAAGCACAGCTCACATCTGTGGCCTGGGCACATCCAAGAGAACCTGGCCCCTGTGTGCGGCCTCCCCCCCAGCTCCTCTTCCCCCCTCTCTCTCCATTTGCTCTGGTTACTTGTCAGGGAAATTGTCAGTGGGTCACAAACGTTCACAGGTTACAAAAGGGAGTTGAAAGCTATAAACTGAAAGTCAAATGGAGCCATCAGATAATACGAACAAAGCCCAGATAGTGAAGGGCTGGCACATTTATCATGGCTTGAAGCCTCGCTGTGCTGCGCTCTTTGTTTCTGGAGGCAGTTGGTGCTGCTGCAGCCGCAGCCGTGCTGTGTATCCACCATAGAAATGTACAAGACATCTGTGCTGCCTGCCCTGCATTTGGGCAGGCCCAAAGAAGCTGCTGCTTACCTCCCTGGTGCTTTGCAGGTGCGTGTCGGCGGCATCATCTTCTCCCCCGGCTCGGTGAGCATCACCTCTGACAGCCTGCTGACCCTGCCAGCCATCGTCAGCATCGCGGCCGGCGGCAGCCTGCTCCTCATCATCGTCATCATCGTGCTCATCGCCTACAAGCGCAAGTCCCGGGAGAACGACCTGACCCTCAAGAGGCTGCAGATGCAGATGGACAACCTGGAGTCCCGAGTGGCACTGGAGTGCAAAGAGGGTCAGTATCTCATCACCCCAAACCTGGACGCTGGTCCTCCCTCCTCCCATCAGGCCATTCCCCTTTCTCTCTGGGGACTGATTCCTCTTTGGGCACTGGGACCCCTGCTTTAGTCCCCCCTCCAACCATTCCATACCAAAGCCATCCCCATTGCCCAACATTGGCAATAGGGCACGTGCTCCCACAGGGAAACAGTAATGAGAGCAAGTGGCAGACACGGCCTCTGCCTGCCTAATGTGCAGAGAATAGGATTAGAGCTTGATCCTGCTTAAGCAGCGTGCCTCGATCGTGTGGTGAGGGCTGCAGCAGCCCCAGGGTGCCCCGCACAACGTGTTCCCTTCTCTAATGGCTTTTTAGGGCTCCAGAAAAGGCACAGAATGAGATGGAGAGTGGGGAAGGGTCACAGAATCACAGAATTGTAGGGGTTGGAAGGGACCTCCAGAGATCATCGAGTCCAACCCCCCTGCCAAAGCAGTTCCCTACAGCAGGTTGCACAGGTCGGCATCCAGGCAGGTCTTGAACATCTCCAGAGAAGGAGACTCCACCACCTTCCTGGGCAGCCTGTTCCAGTGCTTCGTCACCCTCACTGTAAAGGTCAGGCTGCAGAGAAACTGTGTGTTCTAGAAAGGAGCTTAAGTTAAACCAAAGTAAAGAAAAGTAGCTGCAAATGTTATAGTTTGAGCTCTGTCCCAATCAACAGCTGATTAGGATTCGTTCAGCTGATTTTAAAAGGGTAACCTTGAAAGGCAAAGGATGAGATGTGTTCTGGAGATGCCATTCACTTTGGTATGGGCGCACCCTGGCTCGGGGGCAGAGACCTTCCTGAGCCAAAGGTTTCTGCTTTGTAGAATGAGCACAGGGCCACAAATACCACCCTGACATCCACACTGAAGTTCTGTTCTGAGAGGAAGAAGAATTCCTCCCTGGGCCTGCACAGGCGCTTTCTGCTTGGATTTGATCTGCATCGGATTTGATTATTTTGGCAACTGTTGGTAGAAGAAGAAAGGAGAATAAGGGAGACACCAGGTTATGAAAAGAGATCCTCATCTCTATCTGCAGCCTTTTTAAGAGTGTTCTAGGTGCACAGACACAGTTGTGAACTGCGTACAAATTCATAAGCATCTTTTGTTCCTGGCATCTATTCTCTGCAGTGTGCTCGCTCCCAGCAAGGGTGAGGGTCTGCATGAGCTCCGTGCAGGCTCTGCTCTGCACCCGCTGCTGCATGCTCTCTGAGCCCGTGTTGCATTGCATTTCTCCTTTTTCTTTTCTTCCCAAACAGCTTTTGCAGAGCTGCAGACAGACATCAATGAGTTAACCAGTGACCTGGACCGTTCTGGCATCCCATACCTCGACTACCGGACGTATGCCATGAGGGTCCTCTTCCCTGGCATTGAGGATCACCCCGTTCTGCGGGAGCTGGAGGTAACGGGTGGGCAGTGATCTCCTCCCCCAGCCCTGTTAGGAACCATGGGGCCAGCAGGATGAACCCCGAGCTCATTGTAGCCAAGAGCTTGGTGTTATATCTTCATCAGGCACTGCTTGGTTCCTCTCGTCCAGTTTGGGTACTGGTTTGGGTATTGCTCTAGGCCAGCAGCAAATGATGCTGGATGAATTCCTGGTGTCCTTTTAGATGCTCCTCAGCCCAAGAATCCTCCTGCTGCTGTTCCATGGCGTGCCCACAGGAGGGCAAGCGCAGTGCCTGGGCATGGGCTGCCTCTGCCTGTGCTGTCAGTGAGTGCCCTCGTTCCTCTCAGGGCTTTACTGAGGTCCCACTGCTCTGTGCACTCATGCAAGGGCTCTTCAGTACTCATCCACTAAATCTGGCTCCTTCCCAAGGGGCCACCATTTGCTGCCTTTGGACTCATATCTCTATGCCCTGAGTTTCTCAGTCCCACCCATTGTTGCTGCTGCCATCGCCATATAAGCTCTAGCAAATGAATATGAATGCTTCATATTTGTTTTTTTCCGCATGAAAAATAGAACTGCAGAAGTGATAAATGTGTTGCCAATTACACAGTTGCTTGATTATGTAACATCAGTAAAACCAATACATAATTCTGCAAGATGTTTGGTAAAGAGAGGCTTAACGCCGCTCATCCATTTGTAATGAATTACATTGAGTCTGGAACTGGTTGAAAGGCTCAATTTTTTACACTTGCCCCATAGTAAAGCAATAATCAAAACTGGTGTTTAATTTACTTTTAAGTGTGCCACTTTTGTGTGGAGAACAAGCAAAATTACTCATTGTTTGTAGGGCTGTTGGCAGTAGAGTGTAACCCAGGGCAGTGGGGAAGTGCCCCAGTGGGTGTCCCATGGGGTGGGACAGCAGCATCACCCCTTTGTTATCACCCCACTCTTCATCACTTCTGCGCAGTGCCGTGGGTCCCATCAGCTTGGTCTGAAACCAAAGGTTCCTGTGCACGCGGTGCCTTCCAGTCCTCTCCCCTCCTGATGGCTGCTCTCTGCCACAGGTCCAAGGGAACGGGCAGCAGAGCGTGGAGAAAGCCCTGAAGCTCTTCGCTCAGCTGATCAACAACAAAGTCTTCCTGCTGACCTTCATCCGCACGCTGGAGCTGCAGCGCAGCTTCTCCATGCGCGACCGCGGCAACGTGGCCTCGCTCATCATGACGGGGCTGCAGGGCCGGCTGGAATACGCCACCGATGTGCTGAAGCAGCTGCTGTCCGACCTCATCGAGAAGAACCTGGAGAACAAGAACCACCCCAAGCTGCTGCTGCGCAGGTAGCGGGAGGGCTGGCGCTGCCATGTGCTCTCTTGGTGATGGTTAAAAGCGAGGTGGGAAGACGAAGCCGTTGGGTTGGCAATGCCTGGGGAGCCAGCAGGGAAGGGCAGGATGCTCATCCAGACCCCGCTCGTGTCGTCAGCTGCTGCTGTTTCATGTCTCATTGAGTGCTGCCCGTGGTGCCCCGCTGGCACCTTGCAGCCAAGGGAAATGGGATGATTTTCACAGCCCCAGGAAAAAAGAAGGGATTCCTCCAACCATATACTTGACAGGAAATTGCTTTAAGTCTGGCTGTGTTTGCAGAGGCAATAACTCATCTCGGGAAAGGAAGCCATCTTAATTTCCCCCGTGGTTTGGTGCGTCGCTGGGAAGGCACCTTCTCTTCAGCCATCCCTCATGGCTCTTTGCAGTGCTCCAGAAATACAGGGATGGCACTGGGGGTCGTTTCATCCCCTCCCACCCATCCCCAGATGGGAGAGAGCACTGCGCTGGCAGTAGGATGGCTCTGCTCACAGCCACTTCTTGTGGGTTAGCTCTGAGAACTCTCCTCCTAAACCCACGCCTGGCACAGGGAAGCCAAATGAACGCAGAAAGCAAAAATTTGCTTTTAATTTGCGTCTTCTCACCCTGCTCTTTAATCGTCAGCAAACAGCCACAAAGCAAGGCACTGCGTGCTTTTATTTCTTGCTCTCTCTCGTGGCAGTCATTGCCAATCAGTGCTCAGTTCTCCCTCTCTTTCTTCTTCATTTTTCTCCTCTCGCTTTCCTCCAATGTGACCCCTCATGGGAGACAGCAAAAAAGTTGACATTAAATCAAATGGCAGCTCTGGTTCCTGGCACAGACAGCAGGCAGCAGCTGAGAGACCCAGATACAGCAGGGAAAATGAGTAGAATACATATTGATTTGGGGGTTCTCTGGGCTCTTTTTGTTTAGCTTTGCTTGCTTCCCAGTGCCAGAGCAGGGCACCAGAGCCATCCCACAAGCACCCAGCTGGATCTGTAGCTTGCTAGTAGTGCTAATCCGCACCCTGGCCAATTATTAGTCTAGTATTCTATTAACAAAGTGGTTTATTAAATCAGTATTCGTCCCGAACGCATGATTTTCACTCTGTGTTTTAATCTTTTTCTTGGCTACGTCACTGCCTCTGCATTTTGTGTGGCTCGTGGCTGGCTGGCACAGCAGCGTGCTGCTGGTGCTCCTCCTTAATTGGGCAGTGGCAGTGATTTAAACAGGCGAGCAGTGCGCGTGTCAATTTGCAGGATGAGTTTTTAGGCAGTTAATCAATTCAGGCTGGAATTCTTTGGGGATCTGCAGACATTTTCGCAAATTCCTGGCAGATGTTGTGATCCTAAGAGATGATAGATAACGTAACCCCGGGTCTTTTTTTTGCAGACTGGTGTCAGTTTTTGTTTGTTGAAATCTGTGGCTCCTTTTTTGCACTTGATCTGTCTGACTTTGTGATCAAACCCTCTTGGCTTTTTTGTTTTTTTTCATTAAATGCCAGCATCCCCAAACACGCTGGGTGCTGTATAAATACATACCAAGATGCAGTCCCTCATTCAAGTCAGCAGAGCAGTCAGGGAAGAGCAGGGAAAATGGGTCAGGAGCAGGATGGGACCCACAGAGCTCTGCTGTACCTGCTGCAGTGCTGCACCAGCGCTGCTGGGCACAGGATGTTGGAGGCACGGTGTCCCTATCCCAGGAAAAGAAACAGGATCCTGCAGAGCCAGCATTAAAAACTATCATTAGGAGCTATTGTATTGAAATTAAAGATAATCTTGGGCACAATGTGGGGAGAGGATGCTGGGTGGGACTGGGGATAAAGCTGCAATTTTCCTGCCATTGTCACTCTGCTGTCCCTGATTGCCAGCCCAGTGCAAATCCCAGTGATTTACTGCACCAGGCTGTAATTTGCACCACGTGCACAGAGCCGAGTGTCCCCAGGCTCCCTGTTCCCTGTCAGGGCTCTGATGGGCTGTCAGCTGGGGATGAGCTGCCTGCATCGTGCTGCCTGCGTGCACTGGGAGCTGTGCTGAGCGGTGGTATTGCTGCTGTGGGGAGCAGGATGCTCCTCTCCTCCTGTCTCTGGCCATTCCTGTTTCCTGAGGTTGGTTTGTGCGAGGATTTGGTTTTGTTGGTAATGTGCCTCTCCTCCTCCTGGCTTTCCTAGGACAGAGTCAGTGGCTGAGAAGATGCTGACGAATTGGTTTGCTTTCCTCCTCCACAAATTTCTCAAGGTAAGGAGGGATGGAGTGGAGCGCAGCTACTTTGCTCTCCCACCTGCATGGGGCAAATCTGAGCTTGAAAACAGTCTCATGCAATCAAGTTTCTGTTGCTTTCCTTGAGTACTGCTGAAAGGCTCTCTTATGAAAAGGTTTTCTGCTCTTCACGTTCCCTGGCTTTGGCTGCACCAAGTATCACCCAGCTGTGTCCTCTGGAGTACTCCAGGCTGTGCCCTCTGGAGGGCTCGCACCTCTTTGAGCACCTCCATGCCTGCGCTTCCATAGTTTGGCAATTTAATTTTGGTTTTGGAAGCCCCCTCAGAGTTTACTTCATCAGAGCGAACAATGAGATCAAGATCTCAGATTCTCATTTTACAGCCCTATAGATTCAGTAGAGCTTTACCGAGCCAAGCACAACAGCCATCAAGCAGCAGTTTTGGCTGTGCTCTGCCGGAGCTGCTGGGGGCTGAGGCCAATTGCACATCTGCTAATGATTAAGGCAACGGGGCTGTGCCTCTGCTGCAATTAATCATGTGCAAGATGTCTTTGTGGGCCAGCAGCCCTGGTGTAGCTGCACTTCACCCCTGGGTTGATTTCGCTGCCGGTCTCGTTGTGCAGGAATGTGCCGGAGAGCCACTCTTCATGCTGTACTGTGCCATCAAGCAGCAGATGGAGAAGGGCCCAATTGATGCCATCACGGGGGAAGCCCGCTATTCGCTCAGTGAGGACAAGCTGATCCGGCAGCAGATTGAGTACAAGACCCTGGTGAGTGAATGCTGGGGGAAAGAGCTGGATTGCTGCTGTCCTCCCCGTTGGGCATGAGCCATGCTGACCTTCAGGCCCGCTATGGGAGCACTGCCATGAGCACTGCTGTTGGCAGTGCAGCAAAGTCCAATGAGGAGTGTCCCTAGCCGGTAGCTTGGGGTTGTGCCCAACTCGTAGGTACCAATATCCTATTTGGTCCACTGTCCTTCCTCTAACAAAGGAAAATCAACATACGAGGACTCCTATCTTAATTATTTATATAGATATGTGCAGCAGCAATGAGGTAAATAGAGATGCAGGGTTTTACCATGAGGGTTGCTTCTTGTGCAGACGCTTATTCTAATAAGGTCGTTAAGGTTGGAAAATGCCACTAAGGCCATCCAACCATCAATCCATCAGCACTGAACTATGTTCCTGTTGTTCTGCTTCTGTGTGGAGCCCTTAAGGGAATGGTGTGCTTCTCCTTTCTTCCCAGATCTTGAACTGTGTGAATCCAGACAACGAGAACAGTCCAGAGATCCCTGTGAAGGTGCTGAACTGCGATACCATCACCCAGGTCAAAGAGAAAATCCTTGATGCGGTGTACAAGAACGTCCCCTATTCCCAGCGACCGAGAGCTGTTGACATGGATTTGGGTAGGGGCTTGATGCCTTCTCTATGTGTCCCTTTTTACTGTTGAGCATTTCTGTGGGCTCTTTGGGTTAGCCAAGTGGATGAGCCCATGGCTGTCCCCGCTCTGAGCAATGCATCCGTCGCTTCTGCCTTGCAGAGTGGCGGCAGGGCCGCATCGCACGCGTGGTGCTGCAGGATGAAGACATCACCACCAAGATTGAAGGCGACTGGAAGCGACTGAACACCTTGCTGCACTACCAGGTGAGAGCAGGCCTGGGTAGGCAGCTCCCAGAAGGCTGCCGTGATGAAGGAACAGAAAGGCAGAAATTTAATTTCCAGGCAGACGGAGAGGTCACATTTGCATGAAAAACCTGAGTGGTTCAATGTGCTTCTGCATTAGACAGGAAAGCAAGCTTGACATGGATCTTAAAGAACCTAGCAGGGTTGAAAATTGGCTAAATTAAAGCTGCTAGCCGTGCTTGTGAGACAGAGCAAGGGGAGGGCTGAGCCTGTAGGGCTGCAGGTGGGCACAGAACGGAGGGCAGCAGGGAAAAGAGAGGGGATTCTGCCTTCCAAATCCCAGAGCCTTCCAAGTCAGCTCACAGGAGTCCTGCTGCCAGCACCGTATAAAGCAATCCTTGAACCTGAAGGTTTGTGCATCCAGCTTACCATGAGAGATGAATTCCGTTGTTTTTCACATCGGCTCCACCTGTCATTTGCAAGGGATTATCCAGCATGCAGGGAAGCAGTGAGGTTTCGTGATCTTCAGAAGTCAACTGAGGAAGTCACCAGTGAAACTTATGTTCTGATGTGAGCTGGGTGCTAAGGGAGGGACCGTCTTCATTTTGGTGCCTGTGGGAAACCCGAGCCATAAGTTTGGCCTTAAAATAAACAAAATCCTGACAGCACTCACAGCACCGCAGCTATTCCTGCCACTTGAGTGTCAGCTTTGCTCTGGAACAAAGTGGAGGTTTGCTGCCAAGTACCTAAATAGGCAGCAGTCACACATGGCTCTGGCCACAGCTCCGTGCAGCCCGAATGGAGCTGTTTCAGCCATGAAACAAAGCCAAGTTCTCTGCACTGCAACAGGAATCTCGCCGAGGCAGAGCTTTTGCCAAAAACAAACAGCAGCGATTTTTATTCTTTTTTTTTTTTTCCTTTTGGTATTTCTACCATTTTATCCTTTTTTATGTTTTTGGTTTTTTTTTTTTTTTCTGTTCCAGTAATAAATGTTTTTATTAGGTATCAGAAATACAGATGCTCCAGGGCTGCACAGTAAAACAAACATGTTGGGCAAAGGCACTGCTTAGAAGGGGGTATAAAATCAGTGCTGCCTCCGGCTCTGCTCTTTGGTTACTTAAGCCAGGATTGTTGGGGTGCAGAAAATGCATGCACAGAGCATGGAGAGCTGCAGGGCAGCAGGGAAGGGCGAGTGGCATACAGCACATCTGTGCTTTGAGCTGCAGGAGGGGGATGGAGGCTGTTGCTGGCTTCTGGAGGACTGGAGAGATGATTTCTAGATTTATATACATACATATTTCATTTTCTACGTGTTTAGGCTGGTAAAAAAAAAAGCCAAAACAACCCACCATATATCTGCCTCAATTGGCAAAATGTACTCTTCGTGGGATGCAAAAGCTGGGTTGGATTTAAAAGGGCATTTTCGCCCTCTGTAATATTTTTGAACCACTTTATAGAATGAGATAGAGAGCTGTAGGCCTGCTGCTTATTTCTCCATTTTTATAATAGGCGTATGGGTTAAATAGGTGCAGTGCTTTGCTGAAGTCTCTGGAGCTTTTGAACCACGTTGTATTACCTTTATGCAGTGTCCTTTTGGTTTGTGACATTAAACCTCATGGGAGAATCCCGCCCTGCGTGGCTCTACTGAAGAAAAATGAAACCCTGAATTGAATATTGAATGATTTACAGTGGCTCGTGCAGGGTTAACTAGGAGGCAGCAGAGCATGAGTACCTGTCAGGTACCAAGAGCCTGGAAGGGCTGAGAGATTAGAAAACTGCTTTAAATGACAAATTAGAAGCAGAGAGGGAAGGAGCATCAGAAATGAGGATACGGCCCTGGAGCTGCTGGGGCTGCATCTTGCTGGGAGGTGGCACAGAGGTGGCAGCCCAGCTCCATCTTTCCTCTCCTGAAGGCATATTGTGCAGCAGGTTTCCAGCTGGGGGAAGGAAGAATCAGAATATTTCTGAAGCTGGGTTTAACGGCAGCGTGGCAGCAGCAGAATAAGGTGGGAAAGGAGCTTGTGTTCCGTATGACACTGCTCTGTAGGTCAGTGTTTTTGGCTGAGCCATTGCACCCTGGGTTCAGTCAGTGGCAGTGCTCAGGGCATGGGGACCTATGCTGTCCCCACCCCGGGCTGCATCCCAGTGCTCAGCTTCCGAGGTGGAGCTGAGCTGAAGTGGCAGCTAATGACACCCCTGGATAATAATATGGCCACTGATTGTTCCTTCCATTGACTTAATAAATTGAATGGAGTGAGGCAGGAGCAGCGGAGGAAATGAGAAAGGTGTTGGGAGTGTTTTGCTCAGAAATATCTCGCTTCTGTGCTGTGCAACACAAGTGGCTGTTATTTCCACTCTCGTTAGCAATAATAACAACACCCATTTGCCTGAAACTTCATCGTAATGCACAGCAGGGCCGTGGTGCAGGAGCTGTGCTGCAGGCAGTGCTGGGTGCAGAGATTCCCACGAGACCCACAGGTCCTTAATTAACAGAAATGTGTTAAGAAACACCCAGTGGCTGTTGGATTTATTGGGAGGATAAAATTAAACATGGCTACTAAAGTCTGCCATAACCAAACCTTGTTAGCATTAATGTTCTTTAATGTTCGTTAGCATTAATGACTTCCCAGCATTTAATTCCCTCTCTGGAGCAGCAGAGGGATGGACAATTTAATACCCCTGAAAGATGGCTGTGTGACACTCTGGGCTGTAAATCAAACTTCTAAAGTTCATAAAAATTGTTAAAATAAAAAATGGCTTAATAGGAATGTTTTATGGCCCGTAACATTATCACGGCTGTTTTATTCCCTCTGCATTGTTACTTTAATTGGATCACAACAATTCTTGAGATTCTCATTTTTGTTGCATAAAACGCAATCTTAAATCAGAATGACCAAAGCAATCTTCAATCTGTCCCTTGATTTATCACTGCTTTCCTTTGATCTCTGCTCCTAAGGGTCTGACCCAGCATGGGGCTCAGCACCAGAAGCCCAGGGCTGCCAGCAAGACCTTTCTCCTTCACCCAAGGAACCCAGCATTGTGCCATCAGCTCTGTGCCAACCTGAGCATTTCTGTTGTCTGCACTGTCTGGCTCACCTCTTCTCTCTCCCTTCCCCAGGTGTCAGACCGCTCCGTTGTGGCTCTTGTCCCCAAGCAGACCTCCTCCTACAACATCCCTGCCTCCGCCAGCATCTCCCGCACGTCCATCAGCAGATACGGTGAGGAGCAGAGCTGCTTTAAACAAGGATGTGTCCTGGTGGGTGTAGGGGCCTGAAAGAATCAGGTGCAAAAAAAGCAGCAGCTTGCCCCAAAGAACTGCAGCACTCTGTCAGAAGGAAACTGCATTTGTGTGCCAAACAGAAAAAATGTGCTTGGCTGCTGGCTTTTTGCAAAGGCTTTTCCATCTGTGAGCAGAGCAGCAGAAAGGAGCGGAGAGTTTGGAACTAGATGATCTTTTAAGGTACCTTCCAACCTCAGCCATTCTATGAGTCTACGAATCTGAGAGGGGGAAAGGAAGCACCAAGGAGCACATCATGAGCAGCCCATGGGAATGTGGGACTGGGGAAGGCCCTGGGAATGGCTTTTGGCTCAGAGGGTGCTGCACCTAGAGCCATAGAGTCATTAAGGTTGGTAAAGACCTCTGAGATCACCATGTCCAGCCATCAACCACAGCACCTTTCTGCAAGGAGAGCAGACTCTGTTCTCCTTGTAAGCAGGGCTGCAGGGGAGGGAAAAAATAACAATTCCTTCATCTATTCTTCCTGTAAGTGGAGGATCCTGACATCTCAGCTAATGGGTCAGAAATGGTAACAGCAGTGTGAACTCGATGCGCTAGCATTCGTGCTCCTGGGAATTGGTTATTTGCATAATGGCACGGTTAAGGCACTTTGCAGATGGTCCCTAAAGACTCCACGCTCTGAATAAATGAGTCTGCTAGGTGCCAGGTGTGCATTTATAGTGCTAAATCCACAATGATGGTAATAATATACTTTCATAAAAGGCAGCGGTGGCAAAATCTCTAGCACGCTGATCTCTCATTATCTTGCATTGTGCAGAGCGTTGTGCAGAAGAGGGGGCTCCTGGCAAACCCGTCTCCCTGTCCTGGTTATTGCTCCCCAAACAGTTTATTCTCTCAAACTGGGCATCCTTGTTGCAGGAAAGCCCTCAGTCAGGCTTTCTGGTCCAGAACGTTTCTGCTGGGCAGCACAACACAACTGCAGCCCACTGCTTTGGCTCTGCAGGGGATGGGAAAACCAAAGCCAGGTCACACCACCACAGGAGTCCTCAGGGCTCATCGATCTCTGCCACGTGAAAAAGCCTCTGTGAGCCACCAATGTGAATTATCATTCCTCCCGTTAAGATTAATACTTCTAATTGTGCCGACAGAATTTAAATGAGATACTTATTTACTTTCCCCATTATATATATCAGTACAGAGCTACGCTTAAAAATAGAATTACTAGATGCTTCCTTAGCCGTCCCCCTGTCTGTCTCCTTAATTATATCAGTTGGAGTACTCATTTATCTGAGCCCTAATCAGGGATGAAAATCTAGCTAGTTTTGTAATGAGCTGCACACTTCCCCTGGCTGATTGATGATTGATCTCCTTCCTCTTGCTGGGAAGGGCAAGCAGCAAACTGAAGGCTCAACTTAGGAGAGCACATGAGGTTCCCACAGAACAAAGGAATTCAGTGAGAGTACAAAAATGAGCAGTGCATGACTCACGTTGGCCTCGCCGAGTTGTTAGCACCTTGTCTTGGCTCACAGAGGACATTGGCCAGGGTAGCACATTGCTTGGGAAGTTCCACGTCCCTCATTCCTTCTTGGTCTCTGTGCCAATAGGGTAGATCCCATTGCCTCTGCTCCTTGATTCTATGAGGCTCTGTGATCAGAGTCCAGCTCCAGTTGCTCTAAGAAAGCCTCAGGAAGAAGAATCTTTTCTTCTGCACTTACTATGTACAAAATATTGGTATTGGGAGCAGATGGTGTTGCTTGCATGAGCTGGGATCATGGGGCATCATCCCTCATGGAGCTGTTGTGTTGCAGGTAAGGGATGAAAATGCAGGGGGAGAAGCCTCACATCTGGGTGCAGAAGGAGAAAGCTTCAGTCTGGGGGATTCTGTTCTTGGTGAAGACCAGCATGTGCTTTGTTTATAAGTGCACGGCCTATTTTGGCAAATTTCATTTTGTACAGCATTGCATTCCACTGCCCTGCAAAAACAAATCAGAGCAGATGATTCTGGCATTAATGAGAGCAGTGCCATCCCCGAGCAGAGGCAGATGGAAGGAGGCATTACACTGAGCGTGCTCTCTCCTCTCACACTCAGATTCCACCTTCCGTTACACTGGCAGCCCTGACAGCCTGCGCTCCCGAGCCCCCATGATCACCCCAGACCTGGAGAGTGGTGTCAAAGTCTGGCACCTGGTGAAAAACCACGACCATGGTGACCAGAAGGAGGGGGACCGGGGCAGCAAGATGGTGTCCGAGATCTACCTGACAAGGCTGCTGGCTACAAAGGTAAATGGTGTGCTAAGCTTGCCTGGGAGATGCCCGAGAAGGGATGTCCATGTGGTCACTGGGGATCCTCAGCCCCCTGCCGTGCCCTGGGGGTTCATTTCCATAGAACCATTGAGTTGCTGGGATGGGGAGGGAACTCAAACATCACCCAGTTCCAACCTTCAAATTTACCCCTGAGTTTATGAATGCTTCCCCCTTATCAGCAGTGCAAGCCCAGTTTCTAAACTGAGCTGTTTAAATAGCTGTTTGCCCAGAGAGGCTGTGGATGCCCCATCCTTGGAGGTGTTCAAGGCCAGGTTGGATGGGACCCTGGGCAGCCTGGTCTGGTATTAAATGGGGAGGTTGGTGGCCCTGCCTGTGGCAGGGGGTTGGAGATTTGTGATCCTTAAGGTCCCTTCCAGCCCCGGCCATTCTGTGAAATAACAATAAAGCAACTTAACTACGCTTTCCTTTCAGTGGTATAAAAAACCCATACATATGCTTTACTGTAGGATACAGGCAAGCCCCCAAAATTGGAGTACTTATGCAACAGCAGTTTCTAACATCAATCCCAAATTAGCAACCACCAAGCAGGCATATCCCAAAATATCCCTCACCAAAAAAACAAACAAACAAAAAAAAAGCCATCCCCAAAAAACAAAAGCTGCCATGCTGCTCCCATCAGGGCACGCTGCAGAAGTTTGTGGATGACCTCTTTGAGACGTTGTTCAGCACGGTGCACCGCGGCAGCGCGCTCCCCTTGGCCATCAAGTACATGTTTGACTTCCTGGACGAGCAGGCAGATAAGCACGGCATCCACGACACAGATGTACGGCACACCTGGAAGAGCAATTGGTAAGATGTGGCTGTTGTGGTGGGGGGAAAAATTGATGGCAGAGCTGTCAGAAGGGCTGGAGCAACACGGCGCTGTAGCCCCAGTGCGTAAATGCAGCACGGAGCCATGCAGACCCCTTCACAGCACTGCTGTCCCACACAGATGGGGCTCTGGGTGCCAATCCTGAGCTTAGCCTTCCCCAAACAATGGAGCTATTACAGCTCTGCTCTTCTGTTATTTTAGGATTAAAAGCTCTGTGGGTTGGAAATCTACCTCTGCAAGAGAGGGGAAGAAAAAAAAAGCCCACAACAAATGGCTGTTCCCTGAAGACTTTGTGCATTCCCCCAAGTCCCGCATGGCTTTAAAAGCCTCTAATCACCATGTCTGCAAAAGCTGCATTCCCTGCTAAGGCAGTGGGGAGCAAAAAAACAATTTATTGAAAGCATCAGAAGGAGTTATTAGGATAAAAACGTTTGAATCACAAATAGAGATGAGTCTTCTTGAAGCAGTGACAAGGAAAGCACCGTGGGGTGGGGGTTTCTGTGCTGGCACCGCTGGGGGCTCTGACCCACATGTGGGCTCTGACCCTGCTGGGTGTTGATAGCTGCAGGGTTGCTGGGGAATGGAGCAGAGGGGAAATGGAGCAGAGCAGCAATGCCAGAATTTTTCTGGAGGATGGAAAGAGGCGTAGGCTGCTGGAGGAGGTCAGAGCAGAAGGAGCTGCAGGACAGAGCTGATGCGATGGAGGGGAGGGCATGGGCACTGCAGAGTGCAGCTGAGCTGCTGGCCCGTGGTGCAGCAAGAGTTAAGGCTGCAGCCCTCTGTGCATAGCTGGATGGAGAGAGCCAAGACTTGAAAGGTAATAGAAGGCAGCAGCTGCTTTTTTGATCCTGCTGTACAGCCAAAGAAAAAAGGAATAATAATTCCCCTTTGATTGTGGAGGCCTTGGGATGTGGGGACAAAGCCGATGATAGGCACAGAGGTGACCACACTGCCCCGGGCTCAGCCCCACTCCTCGGCCACCACAGAGGGAACGCACAGCACAGGAAGGATCTGTTCAGGCTTTTCTTAACATCCAGTTTTGTTTCTTGGTTTCCCTGCAGCCTCCCTCTCCGCTTCTGGGTGAACGTGATCAAAAACCCGCAGTTCGTCTTTGACATCCACAAAGGCAGCATCACGGATGCCTGCCTCTCGGTTGTGGCTCAGACCTTCATGGACTCATGCTCCACCTCCGAGCACCGCCTGGGCAAGGATTCCCCATCCAACAAGCTGCTGTACGCCAAGGACATCCCCAGTTACAAGAGCTGGGTGGAGAGGTAGGAGCTGGGCAGAGAGGTTGGAGTCATAGCATCGCAGTGATAAGATCCCAAGGAGAAGAGGGGGTATTTTATCCTCCCTGCTCCTCAACGAGCCTTTGGTCCCTGCAGGTATTATGCAGACATTGCCAAGCTGCCAGCCATCAGCGACCAGGACATGAATGCATACCTGGCTGAGCAGTCACGTCTGCATTCAGCTGAGTTCAACATGCTGAGCGCACTCAACGAGATCTATTCCTACGTCAGCAAATACAGCGAGGAGGTGGGTGCCCTTGGGAAGGGGACATGGGGACTTTCCCCTCATTGCAGCATGGCTGTAGTTTGTGTGGCTGCTGCCCACATCTGTTCTGTTTGTGTGCAGTGAGGCTCAGGTCTTGCTCTGTAGCATTTGTCCCAGGAGAAATGATAGCTGAAATATTGGGTGAGCAACTCCATTCCTCAGCGTTGGCACAAGTGCATCTCGCTCCTAAATGCAGTAAAAAAAATCCTCGTGACCCAGTGAAACTCGCCTTGAATGTCCCTGTCCTTTGGGAACAGCATAGTACAAGTCCCTGGTGCATTGGTGCTCACTCCTGTTTGCACAGAATTCCTGGCAGCCTGAGCTCATTTAATGAATGCTTCACTTGAAACCAAGTTCTCACCATCTGTTCCACCCCTTCATTTCAGTGCAAGAAGAACCTATTTTGCAATTATGTCCATTAAAAGGAAGGGTTTTGTCATTTAATTGCATGTATGCATTTGTGATACAGTACTGTAGCATTTTTCCAATTAGATTTTAAAATCCCATAACTTTCATGCTAAATGAGACGAGGAATGTGGAGCCCGAGGTACAGGGCTCTGCACTGAGCAGCCTAACAAGCAGAGGAGCACGGCTGGCTGCTCACTGCACTGCTTCACCATTTGTTACTGAAGAATTATATTCCACTACAGAACTATTTGAGTGAGACTGAGGGATTTATGATCAGTGGGGAACCTCAGAAGCTACACATCCTAAGGAAGTGTTGGCCCTACTGCTCCATCCCAATTTCTCTTGCTGTCAACTACACCTGAGGAAACACGGGGCATTTTGGTACTCTGGGAATGTTCCCCTGCCATCCTGGGGCCCTGATCTGTCTGGTGTTTTTCACTGGCTCTTTCTGCCCCTTGAAGCACATCAATGCTCCATGTTACTCGCGCCTTCCTACCCTGCAGTCCTGCCCACCCTCTGCTCTCTCACTGATTCCTTTCTCTTTTTTCTTTCTGTGTCAGCTCATTGGGGCTTTGGAGCAGGACGAACAGGCACGGAGGCAGCGTCTGGCATACAAAGTAGAGCAACTCATTGGTGCCATGTCCATCGAGAGCTGAAGGAAGGCTGCAGTGCGCACGGACAGCGAGGGGCAAGAGCATGGCACGGATGCCTGGGGATTCAGAGGGAGAACAAGCAGAAAGGCACTGCACACCCCAACAACCACCCTCATCAAGGGGAGCAGGGATGGCCCAGGGGCTGGCTGCGCTCAAAATCACATGGGATCTGGTTTGAAAAGGCAGGAAGATCAAGAGACAAAGCACCGCAATCAGCGTTAACTCAAGGTGGATGGCTTCTGGTATTCATGGAAAGGTAGAACCTGCAACGTCTGGATGTGTCCATGGCTGCTGCTTTGCATGAAAATCGTCTGATGTATATTAGGAAATAAAACTTTATTTAAAGGTGTTTTTGGAGAAAAAAACAAAAAACAGAATCAGAACAAAATCCACAAGCCACAGAGATTACCTTGGCAGCCAGGTTCGGTCCTGATCCCATCCTCGCCATGCCCTGAGGATGTGCTCAGGCATCTGCAAATGGTCTGTTACACCAACTGGAAAGTCTGGAACACAGCAGTCTTGTTGGGATCTTACAAAAAATATGAGCACAAGTTTGCACCACACCTGTCCACACAAGCAAGATAGCAGCTTAGCCAGAAATAGTTCATTGGCTGAGTAACCTGTAGGCACTAGAAGGAAATTGTTGTGAATTGCAAAACCATCCAATCATCCAACTTGTCTTGAAATCCAGCTTTATCTATGTATTTATACGGTGTCTATATATATATATATATATATATTTTAAATCTCATTTACTGTTGAATGCAGAAGGATCCTGTTGAAGCGTGGTGCTCTTGCAGCCATGGCAGGAGGAGAGCGGAGCTGTCTGTGGTTTTTGCAGTAAAACCAACCCCGAACCCAATGTTTACAGTGAGCAATACTTGAAATGCCGAGCTGTGGCAAGATGCTGTTAATTATTCTCTGTTTGACTTCGGACCAGAGAAGCACGGGATCGTAGGTGATGTCACCCACGGGGCAGGCCCATGGCTTTCATTTCCGTGAAGGAAGGGAAAGAAATCTCTGCTCTAGACAAGGGAAACCCATAGGCAGCGCTGTCAGTGCCAGCTGCTGTCCGTGTGTCTGTCCAAGCGTCTTGTCCTTACCTTCCGTTCTTCGCTGGCCCAATGGCACGTCTTCTTGTGGCCAGGCAGATGTCTGTGAGTGTTATTTCTTTAAAAGACACCAAAGCTTATGTGTCCCTTTGTAGAGTGCCAGGATGGGAAGGAGCTCTGTAAATATTCCCCTCTGTAATAAATGCTGATATCTGCGCAGGCTGCGACAGGGAGGACAGGGCCGTTGGACCTGATGGGGAGAGAGGCATCAACCGTGGGAGCTGACAGCAGCAGAGTCCCTCCTCAGACTGCTTCTTCCCAGATGCCAAGGAGAAGCACGCTGGATGTTTGGGATATTTGAGCACGATGCTGTGGAGCTGCACCATAAGTCACCAGGTGGGGTGGTCTGGACCTCGGTCTGCTGCGTGCAGCAAAAGAGAAGCAATTTCTGTGAGCAGCAGGAGTGAGGTGGCTCTTGTTGAGGGGATGAGGTCCCAGGGCCAGCAGGAGGAGCTGACACGCATCCAAACATCTCAGGAAACTCAGTGTTGTAACGACCCTTTGCTGAAAGCCATGCTGAGCCCACTTGCTTCTGTGCATTTTTCTGGGTCAGTTGGTAGTGTGGAGGAAGACCTGGTGGTCAGCCTCGTGCAGCACAGTCTGAGTTGTGTGATGAGATGCTCTGAGATGGGAGAGCTGTGCAGAGAGAGGCGTAGGAAGGATGTATATTGTTGTAGTCATTGCTTTGAGTATTCATGTTCAGACTGTTCACCAAATCCTTATGGTACTCTGGAACACTCAAAATGGTTTTCAAACACTTCTGAATATTCATCTAAATAGTTATTTCTGTGGGACTGATAAAATATGACTATACCCAAAGCAAAGACCTGGATGCTGCTGGCTGTGCTGCCATGCAGGCTGCATTTTGCTTACTGCCCATCTCTCCATGAGGCTTTTGCACAGCCAGGTCCCTGTCTCCTGGCCAAGCTGCGTGGAGCTGAGGAGAACAGGGAAACCAAGAGGAGCTCATTGCAGAACAGTGGGGTACTGAGGTCTGAGTGGTTTCCACGGAAGACAGCAGGAATAGCTCTTCATCCATCACCATGGAGGCATCAGGAGGATGGCGTAGAAGCAGCACGGTGCTGACTGGAAGGAGTGGTCTGTAGATAAACCACCGAGCATCTACTTGTGATGGTAGCCATGAATTATGGATCTTCATGGTCAGTTACATGGGATGAAGCAACATATCCCCTCGGGGCAAAGAACTTGTAATCTATTGCCCTGCTTGCATCCAACTCTTTGATTACTCTTTGGAGAGGAAACTGAAAAGCTCCAAGGGGTATTTCCTCTGCACTGCAGCAAATGGACTCAAGGTTTGGTCAGGAGGGGCAGTGACTTTGCCTTAGATGAAATGATTTCACCTCTCTCTCGTGGCCCCTTCCTCCTGCGGGGCTGTTGGTGTTGTGGTTCTCCAGTTCACTTCGTTTCAGGTATTTTGACATCAAAGTGGGAGACGTCACTTTCTGGAATCTCTCTGCCTGGTGTCAATGCTTAAATAATTCCATTTAATCTTCTGCTCATGTACTATCAAAGCACCCACTCCAAGGGGGAGCAAGGTGCTAATCAAATGCTTCTCCACCTTGAAAGCCTTTATTAAAAGCCCATATACCAGAGTCTAACTTACAGGCAAGCTCGTCTCTGCAGGAGCCCTGCTGTGGAATACCCAGCACCGTGCAGAGGTGCAGTCCCCTCCGTGCCATAAGGGATGGATTTATGCTTAAAGGAGGGCAGGACACATCAAAACAGCTGGGTTGCTGTGGACTCCCTGGGGCCTTCAGCGGGGATGGGACACACGGTGCTGGGACACGTGGGGTTGGCAGGCGCAGCTGCCCGGCGCGGAGCCACCAGAGACCTCCATCACAGCAGTGCCTTCAACACTCTGTCTTAAAAATGGCCCGGTCCTGTAGAAATTACCCACCCTGCCTTGAAATGGACCTCACCAAAAACATCGTAACGTACCCAGCAGTTTGGGTGAGCACATGGAAGCCAATAGCAAGAGGATGTAATGCTCTCTGTTTGTGTTCTGTGTGATGCTGACCTCAGTGCAAGTCCTTGCTGTCGGTCCAAGGCTCAGAGCACTGAGCTGCCCACTGCTCCAGTGCGATCCTGGGATGCTCCAGTGCCTCCAGCCCTCACCCAGCCCTACTCCTGCTTGCTGGTCTCTCTCCACTCCATTCTCAGTGCTCAGCTCAAAATGGACCGAGTGGAGCAAGAGAGGGCATCGTGAGGACTCATGAGTGGCCGTACCTTGGAGAAAAGAAAAAAGTGTTTGGGGATGGTTAAGTAATTGATATCAAAGATGCGTTAAAATGCCACAAAATTTGCCATCCAGTTTGGGAATGGCATTCGTGCCACAGTTTGTGAACCGTTGAGGCAGGGAGCTGCTGCCCTGCCTGTGGATGCGTGCTGGGTGAGCTGGGAGAGCCATGGATGTGTCCTTGGTGAGAGCCCCGCTTCGCCCCTGTGCTGTCCTGCTCTCACGTAGGCAGGACTTTATTTTAACTGGACATTGGATGGGAAAATAATGAGATTAAGGATGTTGGTGTACGCCGTGAAGAAGATGCGTTCTGGATCCGCTGGGCTGAGCAAAGCTGAACGCACCATTTCGGTGTGGTTTGGGTTTAGAGGGGAAGAGGATGGAAGTCCTCAGAGGGATTTTCTCCTCTTGGAAGGCGCTGCTCAAAGCACATGGCACCATGGGTTGGCACAGGGTGGCACAGGGTGGCAGGTGTTGTGGCCATGCTGTGGGCACGGCAGTGTCTGTGTGCTTGTTCTTGTCCCCGTGTCACCCCCTTCTCCTTCCTCCTTTCTAAAAGTGGAATATAATAATGACAAAACGTGTGTTCCTGCAGCGAGTATCAGATCTGCAGGGTCCATCCATTGCATGGACAGTGCCCCAAACTCTGGGCCTCCAAAGGGGAGGGAACACACAGGTACTAAAACTTCTGGGATCCCCAGAAACAAGGCCCCATAATGTCATAGAATGTAGAGGTATCGATCGTGGAACAGATTTTTATGTTTTTCTGCCCCGCTCCTTACAGTAAATGATGCCATTTCTAGGGGTTGTGTGTTGGCAGGAATAACGAATGGATTTGTATCCGTACCCATTCCACCTTATTGTTCTCTGGTTCCTCCCCTCCCGTTATACTTGACACACTGGAGTTCTGTATTATATTTTTTTTTTTAAGATGATTGTCTGTTTGTTTGGTTTATTTTTTGGTTGTTGTTTTTATAAGTGCTGTGGAAAAAGAAAAAAAAAAAATGTAAGAAAGTTTAAGTATTTAAAAATGTTCCAAGGAAAAAGGGGGTTTTGTTATTATTCTAATATATTATTGTGTACCTATTGTAAATATGAAACACTCCTATTTTGCAAGCCAAGGACTCACTTTGTACTGTTGTTATATATAAATAAAGTTTACTGGTTAAAAAAACAACAACAAAAAGCACGGCGTGAGTGGGTCCTTCTGTTCTGCTGCATGGTGTGCAGCAGTTCTGCCTTTGCAGCAGGAAATACTTGGCTGTGATGAGGTGAGAATGCTCATTGGGTGCAGGTGGGCACGCGGGGGTCAGTGGGGCTGAGCTTTGTCCGTGGTGAAGGGACAAAGGGGGGGGGGGCTGCAGCTTTCTTTGGCCCCTCTTTTTGCTTTTTCAGATCCTCCGCTGCAGGGTTTTTTGCTCCATGTCTTCAGGAAGAGCTGCATGGTCATCCTGAAGGCAGCAGAAGGTCCCTCCTCCGGGCAGCTTTCCTTGCATGGGACAGAGAATGCAGGATCCGGATGGGCAGCGCTCGGTGGTGGGAAGGAGCACGCAAATGGTGTTTGCCAGTCGATCAGGTGGGCCCTTCATTTCTTTCCCCATTGAGATGGTTGGTCCTCACTGTAAAACGCGTTTGCTTTCATTTCATAAATTCAAGCTAACGTTTGAGCAAATGCTGAGAGGCGTCTGCTGAGTGGTAGGAATCAGCAAGTGACTTCTCCAGCAGCTGTCTGTCAACTTTAATGACCAATATGGTTGCAATTACAGCAATGAACTTTCTCTAACAGCCCCAAATTACTCTGGATGATGATAAGTGACAGAAAAACAGAGACCCTTAAGGAAAGGCTGAAAAAGAAACACGGGGATCTCAAACGAGAGGTCTCACCGCTTCTTCTGAAGGGTCTTGGTTTCTCCTTTTTAAATGAGGTAATTGAAAGGATAAATCCAAGGCAGGAGGCGGCTCGCAGCAGGGAGCTCCATGCTGCCCCAAGATGTGGTTTTATTCAGCCACTTGACACCG